TTCCACACAAATGTTCATAGCAACTTCAATCATTTCAAAACCAGAAACCATCAAATTCCATCCATGAATGAATAGAAAAACAAATTGATGTATATCCACATATTGGCAAACTACTTAGCCGTAGAAAGAAACAACTAGTGATACACATAATGATATGGATGAATCTCAAAAACATTGTGCCGACTTCCAAGTCCTGGAGTATCTTTTTCTGGTGTTTCCTTCCTTTCCCTTCTTGGTCCATTCATACTAGGCTGGAACCTCAGCACTTCAAGGCCTAGGTTAGCCCAATGGCCACTCTGTCTGCCTCCAGCCTTTCAATTTTCAGCTGTACCTTGTCAGAACAATCTTCATAAAACACCACTTCCTTATGTCATCATAAAAACCAAACAAAAATGTAAAATAACTAGGGTTGTGTTAACATTTAACACAGTTCTTCTAATACCCTAGCCTCCAGAATATTTTCTAAGATTTTTTACCAGACAAATAAAATAAATTTTCCTAAATTTGAGCCCATATGTGAATGTAAGTCTTCTGGCTTGTTCTGATACTCTATTCAATGAATTGCCCTTGAGACTCTTAGAACTATGTGGTCAAGAATTAACACAGGTCAGCTCTCCCTACAGACTTTTGTCTTTTGGTCAGAGGCAGTGCCAGTCTTCCAGGTATCCAGGCTTGAAACAGTAGAGTCAGTGGGGACTCATATTTCACCCTATTCCTCTGTGCAGTCAGTTAACTTTCCTGTGTTAATCCTTAGACGTTTCCTTTACATCTGTTTCTTTATAGGAGTCTGGTCACTGCCAGAGTTTAGGCCTATGTCTTCTCACAATGGCTTTACTGCAATAATCTTCAAATTGTGTCTTTTGCCTTTAGACTTCCAGTGGGGTATTTGAGGCTTCAGCTATGTCAATAGCATTTGTTGAGACCTAGTATGTCCTAGGTATTTGTATATATTATTCTCATAAAAAACCTTGCAAGGGAAGTAAGAAAAGCAAGTTCATTGAGTACTTTGTTCAAGATTACACGGCTAGTGAAGGACAGAACCAGCAAGATTAAGACATAGGCCTAAGTGGCCCATGTATAGGTAAGAAAAAGATAACAGGTAAAATTTCATTTTTTTTAAACATTTATTCATTTTTGAGAGACAGAGCATGAGTTGGGGAGGGGCAGAGAGAGAGGGAGACACAGAATCCGAAGCAGGCTCCAGGCCCGAGATGTCCGCCCAGAGCCCAGTGCGGGGCTCAGACTCACAGACTGTGAGATCATAACCTGAGCTGAAGTCAGCCGCTTAACCGACTGAGCAACCCAGGTGCCCCATAACAGATAAAGTTTTAAAGTTCTGCGTTTGTCTAGGGGGACAAAGTGGGAGACAATACATTGGAGGTAACAGGCAAGTGCTTTTAAGTAGGGACTTTTATTTTACTTACATGATTTTCTCTCCAGGGTTATTCTAATTGTCTGCCATTATTTTAAGTGCATTTATCATCCTGGATAAAAGTTCTGTTTGAGATTTTTATAAAACGATGACTCCAATTTCAAAAGATACTTGAGTGGCTATTTGGTTGCCTTCAAGGTCTTGAGATTATTTGTGCATTTCATGTGTCTGACATGCATACTGACAGACATACAGCAGACTCAGTGAATGTTGGCTGGTTGAGTGAAAGAATAATAATGAACACTTTCAACTTTTACAACATTTAGTTCACTCATTTAACAAACTCATAAGGTAGGTTGCATTATCATCTCCATTTTACAAATGAGGACACCAAGACACGGAACTCGCCCAAGTTCACACACTGTATTATTGGTGGAGCATAGATTACAAGCAGAGATTGAGGCAACTCACTCTCAAGCCCCTGCATTAAGCCATAGTAGTATCCTGCTTCTTGGCTCATGGGAGAGTTACATCGCTCAGGTTGTTAGTAGAATAGTATATCCCTCTTGATGCTTCACATTTTAAGATGTAGGGCAAGGTCCTTAGCCTTGGATCTTTGTACCCATGGTCCATTGACAGGCCCTAGGGGCCCATGGATCTCATGAAATTTGATTAAAGTTTGTGTGTCCCCATAAATGCATATTTCCCTGGGGGCAAAGACCCATGCCTCTCATCAAATTCTCGAAGAATTTTGTAATAACTACAAGATTAATCACCATGGACATAAAGAAATATTTGGGAATTTCTTGAGACAAAATTAAAATTATTAAATGCCCAAAGATACTTAATAGGTCAGTTTATTTGAAGGATTGTCTACATTTTATTTCTGCAAAGGAGACTTTGGTTAGGGGACTAGAAATTAATATTTATTAGGCACAACTAAATGCCAGGTATTAAACATATATTAGCTTATCTTAGTTCTTGTACCATTACCAAAAAGATGCTGTTTTACAATGTAGAAACTGAGGCTTAGAATGGTAAGACACATACCTGATAACATACTGGTAAGTGGTAGGACTGGGGCACCCAGAGCCAACTCTGAAGCCAATATCACCCCACTTCATGGTTAGACGCAGCTGCTAAGTGCCAAGGGCATTTGGTACAACTAACCTTGCTGGGAGACAGGTTTTTAGTGATTTCCTTGCAACCCTGCCTAGAAATAGTCTATCATATGGCATCTTAAGTCCATTTTGAAGGACAGAAGTTCAGTCTGGCTTTAAGATCATGTCTCATGTGGCCTCATGTCTCATTTACATCTCTACATTCTGTTCTCTGGGATTCATTCCCGTGTAAGCAAGTTTGTCACAGCTGCAGTGGGAGCGGTTTAGCTCCCAGAGTGCGAGGTGTCTGAACCACTGACCTGGATGACTGGTTAGAGCATACTTTAGGCTCCTCATGGCCACAGGCCTATGCTTCCCATCTCTGTTGTCCATTTGAATATACAAACAGTCCTCCTCCTACTTCAGCTGCAGTGGACTTTGCAACATCCTTGAAACACAAAACAGGAACTCTAGTGGTTTGTTTCCTTGAGCTGCTATACAATGTTCTTCTCCTTGACTGGCGGCTTTTATTCCACCGCCTGGTTTGCCTGAAAATCTCCCTATGCAAAACCACTTGTTTGTCGAGCACTGCAAATCACAGATACGGCCTTTGAGATCTCTTGAAACTTTTCTAGTCTCATAGAGTAGCCTATACCACCGGTGCAGGAGGGTTCTAGAGAAGTAGGTACGGCCGTCCTGCAGTGTGCTCTTGTAACAGGTGGAAGGGGGAAAGATTGCTGTCTTGGATTGAGTGTTTCTCCAGCTTTGGAGAGAAGTGGATCCTCAGCAGAGACTGGCTTAGCTCCCAGAAATTCTCCCAGTCTCTGCTCCAAGAAACCTACCCTAGCAGTGCTGAGTATCAGTCGACTGGATTAGGATGATCTCATGGCTATGCTCCTTCACCTGGCTGGAATAGGCTACCTGGGGGAACAGAGTGGGTGCGGATCAGAAGAGGATGTTGTGGAGCCAGGATCATCGTGGTAGCAGAAGGAATTAGTGAACATTTACTTAAGTAGAAAAGCATTCCCTATAACACTGAGGAAAACTAAAACAGAAACCTCATACTTCACACTACAAATGGATGATTTGTTTTACAAAAGATAAATCCAGTTTTCTTTAAATTGTGAATTATCTCTGCTAACATTCTAAATGATTCTATTGTTTTCCTAAAAGGAGAAAAAAAAAACCTTTCCAAGTAAAATTTCCAAAGCCCATTTATATTTGATTTTATTGTCAAAAATGTGTATAGATTGTTTCCTAGGACTACCATAAGAAAGTACTACAAATTGGGTGACTTAAAAGAAATAAAACAGATATTCATTGTCTCCCAGTTCTGGAGGGCTAGAAATCTGAAATCAAGGTGTCAGCTTGGTCACGTTCCGTCTGAAACCCTTGGGGGAATCTTTCCTTGCCTCTTCCTATCTCCTGGGGGCTTACTGGCAATCTTCACTCCTAGGCTTGTAGATATATCACTCCAGTCCTCTGTCTTCACATGGCATTCTCCCTGGGCATCTCTTCATATAGTCTTCTCTCTGTGCATGTCTGGGTCTGTGAATTCCACCTTTGTATAAGGACAGGTGGATTGGGGCCCACCCTAATAGCCTCATCTTAATTTGACTACATCTGTAAATACCTCTTTAGGTCATATTTTGAGGTACATTTAGGGATAGGATTTCAACATATTTTTTGGGGGGGGGGACAATTCAACCCATTATGACAGCTAAAAATGCTATTATATGAAAGCATATGACATTGAAAAAATACAGTTATCTTTACAAATGAGTCTGTGTGTTACTCTGAAATATTGCCTTCTAACCTTTCAAATCTTTTCAGAGGTTGCTGTCTTATTCAGTGATCAAGTGTATTCCTCACTTAATTTATTAGATTTATCTTAATTAGCTGCCTTATCATTTAAGTGCTGCCTAAAAAGTATGTAGTAGAATAAAAAGCTTTGATATGACAAAATATATTACATTTCTGGGATGATCTAAGGCCTTGGATGTGACTGTTCATAATGGTATCTATTTTATTCCTTAGTGTTCATCAATGTCTGCTTTTCTGCCCTTGTTCTGTGCGATGTTTCCCTAGGCTTTTAGTCTAGTTTTGCTCTCACCCCACTTGGAATCTCAAATCAAGCTTAGGGGTCCATTTAATAGACATGCAGATCAAAGAGGGTATAATCAAAGAGGGTAGACCAAAGCTAACAACCTAATCATGGACAAGAACTTCTAGAAAGTTCATATCTGTATACATCTCCCATGGTTGGGAGCACTCACAAAAAGGAATATTACATCCCCTTTAATTTGCACTTATAAATATTGTACATTATCTATATCGTATTTTCTACACATTAAAAGTTCAACCAAGACATAATTGTCAAGCATTGGCAGTAGGCATTACAGTAGTGTACCAGTGACCATTGTGGTGGCCCAAATTTCCAGCAGCCCTGTTTTAATCCAAGACTATTATTTTCTTATTTTGAAAATAGAGTGTTATTTTCTTACATGACTAAAAAGACTTTACACCTGTTTCTTTTAAATAAAGACATTTATTTAGAGAATTTTAGTAGCATGATAACGCAACCTCACCAAATATTCACAGTTCATCAGGTCAGACAGTAGAACAAGTCTGTGTGAGCTTCTTATGAAGATATGGGTGACCACCTCAATAGCTGCCTCCATCTTCTATCTTATTAGTGGATGGTTCATAATCCAAAATATGAAGTTTTGGGGCTTTTTCTCAAAAAGTAGAAATAAGGAAAATGTCTGAAGCAATGATGTTGACCTTTTTCAAGAAATCTATGAAACTTTAACTGCATATTTCAATCTTGTCCAATCTTTTGTATTATTCTGATTGTCGATAAGAACCAGAGGCCTATGTTGATGATTCTTGATAATTTCAGCAACACTTCCAAAGTACTAGAGCAAGAAAACATAAATGAATTAAACATTGGAATTCACATTAACTTAGAGCTCTGCTCCTCCCATCTTCTCCCACTTTCTCAAGTTAGTCAAAGTTACTAGGTCTCAGCAGACATTCTACCCAAAAAAGTCTAATTTAACAAAGGGTGGAACACTTGAGGTGGCAGACTCTGGCCTTTCTTATATTCGGTAACACTAAAAACACTGGCAGCCTAAATTAGTGGAACCCCTTAGAGAAATTACTTCATTGAGTTATGATGCAATATTTTAATAGTTTTTTATTTGGTAACAAGTATAAAACTGTCATACACTGAGTTTCTCTACATTTTTACAAAACATAGACTATCTGTTACGTTGCATAAATCTGAGGTATAAGGACTGATGTAATAAATTAACCCTAAAATTTGGTGTCAGAAGAATTATTTTCCAGATTAATCCATGCTTGTTTTACTTTGTTTTCCTTTTTGAATAGAGAAGCTTTACAAATTCTCATATTTCCATTTCTGCTCTAGCTCCCAGAGCTAATTAATAATTAATTTAGAGGTAATTAATAATGTAATCCATGCCAAGTTTTTGCCATACATATTTATTTTCCCAAATGTTAATTCCTATTGTCTATGGATTTTAAAATGTTCTTCTGGAAAATTATCAATAGTTGAAAGGAACACAAAATAAATATAACACAGAACAGGAAATGAAATGCATTGATTATAAAAAAGTGCTATGAGCTCACAATCATAAATAAATGCATTTAGAATCGTTTTCAAAAAAGTAGTTATTGTTTTGTCACACTGCCATAAATTTAGCAACTATTACCAATTGATTTTATTGTATTTTAATTTTTAATATAAAGACAAACATCCAGAATTAAAAGTTTTTTAGTTATTTGAATACCTTCTAAATATCTATATACTGAATAAAGTATTCAGAATACTGGTCAACTTTTTCAAGTGAAATACCAGTTGTCTTTTAGATAATTGGCTATCTGAATATTAGGTCAGGGAGGAGAGGTAAGAGACAGGGACCTTCAAGTATCTTCAGTTTTTATTTCTTAGCTTTCTCTTCAATCACTCAGCTCTTTGTCAATCGCCAATGAAATCAATGATATTCATTCTGTTTGCTTGGCATAGCATGTTGTTAAATTGAATGCAGTTGGAAGTTAAATTGATGGATGAAAGAACCAGGAAATGGAATAGCACAATCTCTTTTAAGTGGATTCCAAGCAAAAGTGTTCTGAACCCAGTAAACACAGGAGAGAGTTGCTATAACTACACAAACATCTCAGTCTGTCATTCTAGTCCCTGAATATTTTTGAGTATTTCTTTGTTGGAGTGTTTGGGCATTTGAAATGTTTGAAATATGGAGTTGAGGTGAGTTGAAATGTGTGAAGTAGGGAGCAGAGTTGAGAGTTGAAACATATTGGATGTAGAATTGAGCATAACTTAGTTGCAATTTCCCTTCAGTGCTCTTTTTTTTATTTTTTATTTTTTTGTCTATAGTAATTCATTGTTTTTGAGATATTCATACATGGACAGAAAAACAAACTGTTTGATAACTCAAAATCCCATGGTCCATAAAATAAAGCAAATAGATATCAAAGCTATAAAATTACTCAATACTGTATCTATATAATGCCAAAACAACTGCATAAAGTAGTTGAACAGTTAATCAATTGGTTTCTTTTTCTACACAAATACAGGCAAACAGACTTTTCACAATATCCACATGGTTGACATCATGTAACCGAAGTTTTAATTTTCCATTAAGATGTTCAGTATATGGGAGAAATAACCTTTTTATTGTAGATAACTTAAGAGTTTTAATGGACTCTGTCAGCACTTCCAGATACCATTATAATAATATGCTTTTTTTCCCTTTTATTTCTTTTTTCTTTTCTTTTTTTTTTTTTTCTTTTTTTGGTATCTATAGGGTGGATATGTAGGGAGTGATAGTGATAAAGACTCTTTAAGCCAAAAGGAATCACTATTTACCAGAGTTTCCTTAGCAGGACAAGAGAGTCCAGAGTCCCTCTGAGAGTTCAAAATATATGAGAGAGTTTCAGGAGTTCTAAACAGGACAGCTCCCTCACCTACCCTTAACCCTCTTAAAGAAGTATTGGACCATGGCCTGGGGAGGCTTTAGAATGAAACCATCCATCCAAAGTCACTCTGCCCTACTAGGATCACCATCATCTGCTACCAATGATTCCTACTGAAGAGCATCTATTTTGAAAGATTTGTCAGATAAAGGTTTCAGTGAGAATGACATTTTTTTCTGAGTAGGAAAAAGCAGACAGTTCTGTTAAAATTTAACTGATTTTAAAAAATTTTTTTTTAACATTTATTTATTTTGAGACAGAGAGAGAGCATGAACAGGGGAGGGTCAGAGAAAGAGGGAGACACAGAATCTGAAACAGGCTCCAGGCTCTGAGCTGTCAGCACAGAGCCCGACGCGGGGCTCGAACCCACAGACCGCGAGATCATGACCTGAGCCGAAGTCAGACGCTTAACCGACTGAGCCACCCAGGTGCCCCCCCTCTTTTTTTAAATTTTTTTTTAACATTTATTTATTTTTGAGACAGAGAGAGAGAGCGAGCATGAACAGGGGAGGATCAGAGAAAGAGGGAGAAAGATTTAACTGGTTTTAAATGATAATGCAATCTACATTTTAAAACCCAAGTTTGGTCTTGATCTATGTTTTGTGTCTTCAGTTTCAGGACTTTTTGCATTTTCTGATTATCTGAGACCTTATTAAAGGCAAAATAAAACCCCAAACTATAAAACTCCTAGAAGAAAACAGGGGAAAATTTTCATGAAATTGTATTTGGCAATGATTTCTTGAATATGGCACCAAAAACCGCAGGCAACAAAATCAAAAATAGACAAATATGACTACATTAAGTTTAAAAACTTCTGTTCATCAATGGCCACAATCAAAAGAGTGAAACGGCAGTCCATAGAATGGGGGAAAATGTTTGCAAATCACCTATCTGACAATGGTTTAAAACTTAGAATATATAAAGAACTCCCACAACACAAAACCAAAAGATCAAATAACCCAACTTAAAAATGGGCAAAGGACTTGAATAGACATTTCTTTAGAGATGATATACAAATGAAAAGATGCTCAAAATCACTAATCACCAGAGAAATTCAAATCAAAACCCCAGTAAGATATCACCTCTCACCCATTAAGATAACTACTATTTAAAAATCCCAGAAAATTTCACGTGTTTGGGAGGCATGTGGAAAAGTTGGAGCCCTTGTGCACTGTTGGTAGGATTGTAAAATGAGGTAATCACTACAGAAAACAATATGGAGGCTCCTCAAAAATTTTAAAATAGAACTACCATATGATCCAGCAATCCCACTTCTGGATATATACTTAGAAGAACTGAAAGCAGGGTCTCAAAGACATTTTCATGCCCATGTTCATAGAAGAACTATTTATGAGAGCCATCAACAATAGCCAAAGGTCCATCAACAGATGAACGGATAAACACAATGTGGTATACAATATAATGGAATACTACACAGCCTCAAAATGGAAAGAAATCTTGTCACGTACTGCACAGCATGGATAAACCTTGAGGATATAATGCTACATGGAATAAGCCAGTCACAAAAGGACAAATATTATATGATCCTGCTTATATTAGGTATCTAAAGCAGTCAAATTCATAGAAATAGAAAGTAGAATGATAATTGCCAAGGACTGGGGGAAAGTGGAAAAGGGGAGTTGTTTTCAATGAACATAGAATTTCAAATATGCAAGATTAAAAGCTCTGGAGATCTGTTTTACAACATTGCAAATATATTTAACATTACTAAACTCCACACTTAAAAATGACTAATATGGTAAATTTTAAGATATGAATTTTTTATAATTATATCGGTTTGTTTTACAAATGCTACTCTCCTGCCTGTAATCAATCAACAAATAAATTCATCATTTAATAAGTATATATCAAATATCCACTAAAGTCAGCTATTCTTCTGTGATTCTGGAAATACAGAGATGAGCAAGACCTAGTTTAGTCCGTGGCCTCATCTAGTGGAGAAGATGACAATTATGACAATTTCTAACAATTCAGATGCTTTCTAACAACTGCTGGGTTCGGAATGGGTATAGTTGTTTCTGAAGGAGTATTGAAAATAAATATTTCTTAACTTGAATTTTTAAATGCTATTTCCTCTGCTTAGATTGTTCTTTCCATTTTTCTCCTTCTCATCTTTAACTTTCATTTTAGCTACTCAAATTCAACCCATTACTCCAGGCCAGTACAAGTTTCACTCCCTTTCTGACCATTTATGGATTATTCCAGCCCATATTTCAGGGCTCGCTTATAAAAACAAACTGGCTAAGCAGAGGTATGGTAAACATTGAGTTTAGTCTAGATTAAAGAGGGGTTGGACTTTAAATCTGGTTAGTACTCAAGACCTACTGTAATGCTTTTCTCTTGCTGCAGGCCCAAAAGCTCATCCGGGTCCATGGGAATCTAATGTATCAACACAAGTTTCTGCATCTCTTCTGATCCTTCCTTGGTCATCTACTTTTACATTTTTCTTAATGTTTATTTATTTTTGAGAGAGAGACAGAGCATGAGTGGAGGAGGGGCAGAGAGAGAGGGAGACACAGAATCCGAAGCAGGCTCCAGGCTCCAAGCGGTCAGTACAGAGCCCGACATGGGGCTCGAACTCACGAACCGTGAGATCATGACCTGAGTCAAAGTCGGATGCTCAAGCGACTGAGCCACCCAGGTGCCCCCTTGGTCATCTGCTTTGGTATTTGAATTGAGATCCTAGTTCTTGACTTAGGAGCTCTGGACACTGACCTTCATTCTTACAACATTAATTCTACTTGACATTTCAACTTTGATTTCTATGTTCCTCTGAACCAAAATACTGAGTCAGACTGAGTCCACTAAGTAACAGGATAAAGGGACTAAGTGCAGCCTTTACATCATGCAAGTCTATCCTCCTGTCTTCTGTAGATTATGCTGCCTGAACACAGTATTTTATCTTGTACTCTTTTTATGACATGTATGCAAGCCTCACACCGAGTGCCCTTGCATCCTTTCTCTTCATTTCTAGCACCTAACACACTATGACATCATTGTGCTCACTACATAGTTATAGAGTTGGATTAAAAGAGATGTTACTGACCTCTTCACCAGTTTTCTTCCTGCCCAAAGCATACTGCTTTGTTGCTTCGATAAATCGCACAGGGATATTATATACTCGCTTATTAAAGAATACAACTAGTGTATATGGCTGTTTGGAATCATGGCCGGAGCTTTTCCGAATAAGAAATGATCCATCCTGTTTATTAAAAGAAAAACATGATTACGGTGAGTATATTTATGTTTTCACAGGTTATTAATCAGTTCATACCTACATTATATTCCAAATGTAATTATTGAGCTATGTGATTTTCATCATTGATTATAGTTTATTATTTTCCAAGAAAATACTTCAGTAAAATATATACTTACAGAAAATCCGGAGTGAGGTCAATGCCAGCTTTTTGATGCATGAAATAAGATGTTATATTTATAGATTTAGAAATGTTTAATCTTTAGATTAAGATTAAATAAAAAGGGCACTCTTGAACTAGGAACCATGTCTACGAGTTACCTATGACTAAAAGAAATATGAAACAAATTCCATTTAGAAGTACTATGAGAAGAAAGCAGAAATTGGGAATCAAAACATTTGATGTGATGAGAATTCTCTTCCCCAAAACTTATACTGAAGCAGAAAAAACTGTAACACAACATACCAAATTAATTAAATATTTTATAAAATATTCTAGGGGTGTCTGTCTGGCAGTAGAGCATGAAACTCTTAATCTTGGGGTTGTGAGTTTGAGCCACATGTTGGGTGTAGAGATTACTTAAAATGAATCCATAATTTAAAAACTTAAAAAATAAATATTCTATATCAGAAATTCAAAAATTTTGAACAAAAAATGGACAAAAAGCAGAAGGAAGAAATGCAACAAGAGTTCATCAAACTCAGGAAGGAAACTGAAGAGAAAGGCAAATCTGGGTCAGAAATGAAGAAATTACAAGATGCCCAAGGGACAATACCTTTAAATGAAGATACGATAAATGAGTAAAGGAAGGCATGGAAGCAACCAAGACAGAAAACAACAAACAAGGAGATTTAAAAGAAGAAGAAGAAGAAGAAGAAGAAGAAGAAGAAGAAGAAGAAGAAATACAATAGGGTCAGAGTGGTTAAAATGGAAGAAAGACAAAAAAGGCCCAAAATGCATGTAATTTGAGTCCTTGAAGAGAAAAACAAAACAATAGAAGAGAACTACTGTTTAAGACTGGAATTTTATTGGAAAAATAAATTTATTGGAAATAAATTTATTGGAAATAAGAGAAAACTTAAATCTATATATAGAAAGGGGTTCCATCTATCTGAAAAAATTGACCTGAAAATCAACTCAGAGACACATTCTAGAAAACTATTAGATTTTAAAAACAAAAGGTCTGCAGAGCCTTCAGACTAAAATATGAAATCACACATAAGGGTAAGAAAATAACATTAGCAACGGACTTCTCAAAAACATCCTATAAAACAAGGTGGGGCACCAGGGTGGCTTGGTTGGTTAAGCGTCTGACTCTTGGTCTCAGCTCAGTTCATGATCTCACGGATCACGAGTTCGAGCCCCACATTGGGCTCTGTGCTGATGCATGGAGCCTACTTAGGATTCTGTCTCTCCTTCTTTCTGCTCCTCCCCTCTGTGTGTGTATGTGTGTGCTCTCTCTCTCTCTGTCTCAAAAAAGAAAATAAATAAACTTAAAAAAAAAAAAAAACAAGACAATACAATGGAGCAACACTTTCAAAACTCAAGACAAGGGTTTTTATAAGCTGTCAAGGTATCCTCCAGGTTATCAGGTTATTAAAAAAACAGCTTTGAATGTGCAAGAACTCAGGGAATAATGTAAACATAGTCCTTCCTGAGAATCTACCACAAGGTGAGATTTGTCAAACAAAAAGAGATAACTGGAAAGCCAGCCAGCAAAGGGATGAATGGAAAGCATTTAATATATTTAATTGTAGAGGTAGGACTAGAGCAAAGGTAGCAAAAACCAGTATGTAAATGTCATATATTCTGACAAAGTAGGTGCAAGTGAAAAAAAAAAAAAAAAAAAGAAATGGAAGAAGGAAAGAGCAAGAAAAGGAAAGGTGGCACTTTAATTTTGGATTTTCTAAACTAACTGCTCCTAGTGTTTCCTACATGGTTTGCCTTGGACTCTCTAAAAATTTACTTCCGGGTACTTTCTGCCACCTTGACCTTGATCTTTTAACCCATGCATTGATCCAAAATAGACTGTTACTTCTCACTCCTGAATGGATCTCGTGTAGGAGCAAGCCTTACAGAGATCTGCCCCTGCAGCCTTCTCTCCCACTGTTTGGAGAGCAGTGGGGCTTATGGATCCTTGCAAAGGAAGGACAAATAGAAATAAGATGTAGGAACAAAGAGGGAGATGCTTGAAAGACAGGAGGGGATGGCAATGGCTCTTGAATAAGTAAATAAAAAAGATCCCTGCATCTATAATCGCTGCAATTATTTGGTCAGCGAATTATTGGGATGACAGCTGTGCCTATAGTAGACTGGGAACAGAATATGGGATTTAAAAATGGTCACACCTGGGGCACCTGGGTGGCTCAGTGGGTTAAGCATCTGACTTCGGCTCAGGTCATGATCTCATGGTTTGTGAGTTCGAGCCCCACGTCCAGCTCTGTGCTGACAGCTTGGAGCTTGGAACCTGCTTCGGATTCTGTGTCTCCCTCTCTCTCTCTGCCCCTCCCCTGCTCGGGCTGTTTCTCTCTCCTCTCTCTCTCTCTCTCTCTCTCTCAAAAATGAATAAACATTAAAAAAGTCTTTTAAATGGTCAAACCTTGTTTGATCTGTATAAAGCCTCTTCAGCAGACTTTCGATCGCAGGCACCGGCATACCACGGCTTGCAGTGGATGTCAGCTTCCTGTGAAATGGAAAAGAATGTCAGTAGCACAGTACCTTCTGGCACTGAAAACAAAGTCCCACTTTGCATTACCAAGACAAATCTGTGTTTGGACCAGTAATTTGAAAATGAGTTTTCTGCTTCTTTTGATCAATCACAGGATTACATAATTGACTTTTTTCTCATTTGGCCTTAGTGCTTGAGCATTCTTATCAATCAATCAATCAATCAATCCTGCCTGATTCCTGAGCCATTTATTCCTTCCTCTTAAACAAGTTATAATCTCCCTTTCTATTGTGATCTTATTGTTGTTGCTTTGTGGGGTGCATCTTAATTTCCAAAATGTTTTTACCAAATATTATCTTATTTGATTCTTTTAACTGTTTTGAAGGCAAGAAGGACACATAATATCATCCCTATTTTACATCTGAGAAAGCTTAGGGAGACTTGCCCAAGGGCATACAGAGTTCTTTCTCTGTCTTTTTAAAAACTGTGCTGTGTTGTGTGTTTTAATATCATATGCCTCCACAGATCTATTCTGAGAAAATTACACAGTTTAAATAGAATCTATGTGAGAGGAAGAACAATAAAAACAACATACTTCTTTGCTAGTTTTGAAGAAACACAATTGTTATTTAGGGCATCTAGAATACAAAGTGGAATACATCGAGCAGGGACTTAATCCCTGAAAAAGAAAAGTGTAGTCTGTATCCATCAGCAAGTGATAACTCCCAAGCTGACTTTTAAAATACAGTCTATCCTCAAGCTTTACCCCAAACCCCTTATAAGAAAACGTGCCCTTTCCTGCATTTTAATGGTAGCAATAAGAGTTCATTCATACCTGTTCTGACAAATGAGGGTTAGATGAAAACTGGCCATCCACAGCTGGGCTTCCCCCTTCTGGAAATCCTGGAAGGGATTTGAAAAATCAATGGGGTCTTCATCTTATCTTGAGAAGTTATTATGTCCATACTCTCAACACTGTGCTGGGCGCTGCAGGGGGCACACACACTGACAAATCATTCACACGCCAAAAAAAATCCTTAATTGCAGTGGTTCTCAAAGCATGGTCTGAGGACCTCAGGAATCCCCAGGATTCTTTCAGAGAGGTTGTGAGGTCTTTTCCAAATCCGTATCTTTGTGAAGCCCAAAGTTCTTCATATACTTCAGCCAGAAAAACATCGCAACAGATTGAATGTAGAGGCAGATATGAGAATCCAGCTGTCCCTGTTAGTCTAGGCATTAAAGAGACTTCAAAAATGCAAAACAATGCCACTCTTTCCACTCAATTGTTTTTGTTTGGAAAATATAGTGGTTTTTCATGAAAATATTTTATGTTAACATGTAATGGGTTTAACATTTTTAAAGGAAAAAATAAAAGTTTTAATTAAAAATGGATTAATAAATATGTTTTAAATGTCTGTTTTAATTAATACATTAAGTATCAATAGAAAGAAACATGTGAACCAAAGGTCTTTGGGTCTGCAATGATTTTAAGAGTGTTTAAATGGTCCTGAGACCAAGACATGTGAAAATTGCTGCCTTAAGGCATAAACTTCCTCAAGGAGTTTATAATCTAAATGTGGAGACACATGAAATACAGAAAATACTGCATTCATTCATTCATTCATTCATCATCGTGTGCCTGCCATGGATCAAGGCATTGGGGATAGATATATAGTGGTCAAACAAAACAGCAAAATGCCCTTCCCTCATGGAGCTTAAGTTTTAATGGAGTGATTGAGACAGGCAATAAAGACATAAGAAATATATATGCAATATTACAGAGTTGTAAGTGCAAGGAGAAAAATAAGCAGGGAAGGGGTTTGGGGTTAGCCTTGGAAAAGCAATATGTTGAAATAGGCTAGTCGGGAAGGCCTCACTGAGGTGACATTTAGGTAAGATCTGCAGTGAGAGAGGGAGGAGGCATGCAGATATCTCAGGAAAGAGTGTTCCAGGTAAGGGGAATAGGGCAAGGGGCCTAGCATGTTTGAGGGATGGAGAGGGGGTCATTGTGCCTGGAGTGTGGAGGGAAACGGAGAGAAAAATAAGGGATGAAGTCAGACACCAGGTAATGAAGGGACCAGCGGTGTAGGACTTGGTGGACCCCTTAGCATGACTTGAGCCTTAACAGACACGGTATGGGAAGCTTTTGGGGGGGTTTTGAACAGAGTAGTAATGTAATCTGCCTGTCTTTCAACAAGGTCACTCTGGCTGCAGGGCTGGAAATAGATCCAAGAAAGCAAGGGCAGAGAGAAGAGGCCAGTTTGGTGTTCTTGCAAGCCCAGGCAGGAGATGATGATGGCCTAGAACAGATGGTGGCAGTGGATGGTTGGATATCAATTATATTTTGAAAGAATAGCTGGAAGGTGTGTGAGGAAAACAAGAGAGGGACACTCGGGTGGCTCAGTGGGCTAAGCATCTGATTTCGGCTCAGGTCATGATCTCACAGTTCGTGGGTTTGAGCCCCTCATCAGGCTCTGTGCTGACAGCTCAGAGCCTGGAGCCTGCTTCGGATTCTGTGTCTCTCTCTTTCTCTGCTCCCCCTGCCACTCACACTGTCTGTCCCTGTCTCTCTCAAAAATAAACATTTAAAAAAAATTTTTAAAAAAGCAAGCAAGCAAGCCAGCAGTCCTGGGGAGCTCTAAGTTTTTGACCAGAGCAACCAGAATTGTCCTTTATTAGGAAGGGAAGCATGCAGGAGAAACAGGCTTAGATGTTTTCTCCTGGATGTTCAAAAGCGACAGCCACCCGTTGTAACAGGATCGGGCAGTGATGGCTTGGCGGGCCCAGCAAGGCTGGGCGTGAAGGAAGGGTGCGTTCTCATGGGTCGGGACAGTACTCCTGGGTGGGCGCAGCCACAGAGGGTGGGAGGTCAGGCTCTCCCAGGCCACACAGTATAAGGTGGTTGGTGGTTATTGTAGCTTGGGCAGTTAGGGGAGTTCAAGCCTGATATTTTCTGACCCTTGAATAAGTGCCAGTCCTGTTCTACTTTCCACATCTTAGTTCATTTTGTCCTCACACGGGCCCATTGTGGGAGGAGCTATTAGACCCCATTTTCCAACTGAGGCCCTGACCGCCCCATTCGAAACAGCAGACTCCACTGCCTCCGTTACTCTGTGACCCTACCCCTGCCAACTTGCTTTCTTTTTCTTTATAGCACTTTAACATTTACCCAATAGCATATGATTTATCCAGTTGTTTCTGGTTTTTGTCTATCTCCCCTGGTAGAATAGAAGCTCCATAATGGCAGGGATTCATTTGTTTTGTTCAGTGCTGTCTACCCTGTGTCTAGAACAGTGTCTGGCATGTGACAGAAGGTTAGTAAGGATTTGTCAGTTGAAAGAATTATTTAGGTTGAAAAACAATAAAAAGTATAATGAAGCTTTACACAGTGAAAAAGAACATTTCTATAGCCAAACCATTTGCACTTTGTGTTCAGAATTTAAGAATACATATGTCTTTTATATATATGTTTGAATTTCATTTATTGAGATAAATAAAAAAATCTAATTGAAACCTGATTATGTTATGATTAACATAAATGCACATAATTTTTTTGTTTATAACAATTATTTTATTTATGTTTACCAAATCTTGCTTATTTTGGAATATCTTCCAAATTACCCATGCACACTGGGGTTTTGTTTTGTTTTTTCATTTTTTCCTACATTTGAGTAGAAGGGAAATCAAAGTTTGGGCAGTTCTGTTCTACAAGTCTGACTTCATATGTTTTTAGGGTGATGTTCTATTTGCCTTGGGAAAATTATCCAGCTATTTGCCAAATATTTTTAGAGTAGCTTTTGTGGATATATTTTATGAGCATCAAAGTGTCTTTTAGATTTAATTTCAATAACTATCATTTATTGAAGACCTTGTATATACAAAGCACTATATCAGGTACTTAATCTTATTTTAAAAACAGTTGTACTATTTTTATTAAAAAATTAAATATAAAAGATGCCCAGTATGACTGGTAAAATATTGAATCAATACTAAAAAAAGAAAAATGATGTCAGATTTATTTACTTTTGAAAATTACTCCATGAAACAAATATTCTTTTTTAAAATCTTTGTTTGTTTGTTTTGAGAGAGAGAGAGTGCACATGCAAGTGTGAGTAGGGGCGAGGCAGAGAGAGAGAGGGAGAGACAGAGAATCTCAAGCCGGCTCCACACCGTCAGCACAGAGCCTGATGAGGGGCTTCATCACAAACTAAGAGACCACGACCTGAGCCGAAATCAGTAGTTGGACGCTTAACCAGCCAAGCCACTCAGGTGTCCTGAAATAAATACTGTGGCTCCATCTAACAGAAAAGGAAACAAGTCAGAGAGGGCACTAAGATCCTCCAGCTGGAAGTGTTGCTCAGACATGAAGATCCAGCCTTACCTACAACGTGATATTGTTTTTCATGTTTCACCATACTTACTTGGCAGAGGTACAGGTTTGTGATGGATTTGTCTGCAAGGAAGAATTTCAGATTAATTAAAGGGCAAAGCACAAGACGAACAAGTCTGACATTTTGCTTGCACTGAAGATGCTCTGAGCAGGGGCATCACAAAGGAGTCAACCCAAATGGCCAATAAAACATATTGAAGGACAGATAAGGCACCAAAACCTTCAAGGTAAGTAAAACTATCCCCTTTAGTTTTTGAAAAGGAAGGGCCTTGACTAAAGTGTTAGATTTTAGTGAAGACCAATAAACCCAAATATTAGATCTTTGTGAGTCTAAGAAGTTCTTTTAAAGTTCTTTCCTACTTAACACCTTTAAAAATTTTAATTGCAAAACAATGAATGTCAGATCTTTACCAAGCACTAAGCCCATGTCACTATGCAATGTAACGATACAGGTGTTAGGGAAACTTATTTTTAAAGGAAGGGATTCTTACTTCTGGGCAGGAGGAAACACTGATGACTGCATATTTTCTTGTCTGTGACTAGATGCTCGGTGGCGTTCAGCAGGTATGGGTTTTTCTGCATTGAGAAAGTTTTCATATCAGACTAGAGTGAAATGTCTGTTCCCAACCCAGCAACATCAACCGAGAAGAAACGGATTTGGTCCGATGTTTTCCTATGAACCCATCTTTCACCAGGATGCCATCTGTTTGTGCACCTGTCAGTCTGGTGATGTGTTTGCACTATTAGGACCGGGCATCCTACCCAGCAGTGTTGCAGGCACACCTCACAGCTCTGTGGCAATATACATGGGGACTGAGCCACGGGGGCTGGACCTTTAAATGTGTGAGTACAGGTGGGAGCCAGAGACGAACAAGTTTGACCCACACCTGTATCCCTCACACAGGTGTTGCAACACACTTAGTTTATCTTCATTAGTCATAAGAGGTGTTAAAAGTAATTTCTAACTGATAAGAGGTAAAATATGAGAGTTTACAAATAATCTACTCTTTTTGCAAAATTAACTGAGCAAATTCAAGGTCATCCCGATAATAATGTTAATCACATTTGCATTTCATTGTGTTTTCCTGAGTGGGAGAAGAAAGGGTGGGGTTATAACTGGTACACAGGGAAATGGGTAAACCTGAAATGTAAGAAATTTATGCTGAATTTATGTTGAACTTTACTGCTGGACCATGGATAAATGTGATGATAAATTATTTTAATGCTTTGTTCTCCTTCAAATTTGGTCTAGGGTGTGTCAGAATCTCGGTATGTCTATGGGTGTGTGTTCCACATGGAAGAAAGGTGAACTATGGGTCTTCTGTTACAGGACCCCAAAAGAGTAAAAGTAGTATGAACTCAAAGATTCAAATAAATGATAAAATAGACTTGAGGGGTTCATGTAATGCAGCAAAATTCAGAAGCCTTGAGGCCCTGAAGAATGTTTTAAGTCAATGGCACCCTACTTTGAGCTGCCATGTGAGATGTTTTGTTCATGACTTTACAACTTGATAATTTCGGAAGGAGAAACAATGAACACACTTGGTTCCCACAGCCTGATGACCACCCTGCTTTGTCTCTGCAGTCCTGGAGGTTTCCTTTCTAGGTGAGAAGAGGCTGTTCACCTGCACTGGGCTTGGAAGATTATTGCCTCTGTCCCTGAGACAAGTCACAAAAGAGACAGCATGCCAAGCTCTTGTACTAGGAGCCCTTTGGGAATGAGGACACCGGAGCTGCGTGGCACATGCCAAGAGCTCCTTCTGGGCTGGTTTTCAAAGGCTCCTGAAGTCAATGGAATTTGCACAGGGTTGAGCTTACTTCCTGCAGAGGCTCACCCTAGGGCTCCACTATAATTTGAGCTCCCTGCTCAACAGGCACAGAAAACTGTAAGGTATGGAAGGACAGTGAGGCAAAAGCATCAAAGGAAAGGGAGATGAAAGCCAGATAGCAGAAAGGGAGTGATAGCTAAAAAATAGCCTGGAGGAAGAAAGATGTGGGAAACAGATGTAAAAAAAAACAAACAAACAATGGTGCAGTTGAAGCAGACAGGCGAGGTGTAGGACACATTCAGAAAATGTCCAACATCCATCGTCAAAGAAACCAGAGCATTTTATGTGGATGTGCCCATGTGAACTCAGGAAATGGTGAGAATACTCAGCTTTAACGCTGGGTAGCTTCAGTTGTAGAATTAGACGGTTTAGGGCTTTAACTCTATATAGTGTTCTAAGTGTTGAGATCATGGATAGTTCTTACTTCTTTCTTTTTTTTTTATTTCCCCCAATATTTTTCAAATACAGATAGTTTTTTAAATGGAAAATTCCAATTAAAAGTATTTGTGAGGTTTTAAGGATACGATAAAGCGAAGAAAAACATTTGAAGATGTGAGGTACTAAAATAGACATTTGAATTCAGAAAACATTACTTTCAACACTTAGCAAAAGAACTTGCTCAGATAAACAGATTTTTATAAGTTTCATTACTGTAACTAAGCTATTGTTTCTAAAATACATGAATGCTTCTAAATAAGTCTTCATATCTATGTAAAGCCATGGATCCGTGTCTGGCAAGTCATATGTCTCCAAACAGGCAGGTTTGGGGCGTGTAGACTACAGCCTTGCCCCAAAGACACTGGCTCAAAATCTCAGGTCCTTCCTGCTCGTTGCAAAGCCAAGGCCACTTTATTTAGAAACCCGAGTTTCATATTCACAATTGCTTTATAAGTAGACAAAGCAAATTAGAAATACACTTATGTACAAATCCTTAATTAAAATAGCTTTGAGAGGACATACTCATCCTTCAGAATAATACAGGTTTACCTTCACAAACAGCTGAAGCGTTCTGTTGAGGTGTAAGTGGAGTCTATTAAAAAAAAATAGGCAAGGATATTCACTACGGTGGGATGTGGAAATAAATGTCAAAGCAACATGATTAAAATAAGTACTTGGGGAGGGCATTTCTTTGATGCATAGCTATTGTTTCAATCACAAGAACAACAATAAAAAGCACCCAGTTCCCAGCCCAACATCTGCAATAAGCAGCAATGGACTAGAAGTGTATCACGGAAGGGGCAGTGTCGCCCTGGTGTAGGGACTTCCGTGCCCTGTCAACAAGGCTCACGGATGCCGTGACCCCCAGTAGCTGCTGGCCAGTAGCTCTTGCACAGAGGGAAAGTGGCCTCTGGCTCTGGTCTTAGGGCCCCACCTCAGTGTTTGCTACGTGACTGCAGATGTCAGGTTACAGAGTAGGCACTAGGTCAAGGGGGGCTTCCTCAGACAGTGGGCTGGCCCAGGTTCCCCACATTCTGGCCAGAATCCAAGTGTAGTCGGGCCTGTGTGTGCCTGATACACCATTAGCCCCCAGGCCGGCAGATGGAAAGCAGACACAGGCGCTCCCCATGGGGAAGGCAGATGTCAGGGGAGGAAGGGAGCCCGGCTGCCACCTTGGATCTGCTGCTCACACTCGGTGAAGCCCCTCACCCCCCGCCCCTCCCGCCCCTGGGGCTAAGTGAGGATGAGCTCCTCCCATGCAGCCTCTTCCCTGGCTAACTGAGGAAGCTAAATTTCTCTTGGAGCATCTGGGCGGCAACTTCAGTTGCTAAAATTGCTGTGTTCACCTTAGCTGGAAGCACTGTCAACTTTAAATAAGGGAATAAGAATAAGCATGGCAGGAAATATGAAACACATTTAAATGCAAAATTAACTTACTGTCTTCAGTGGGGTAGCTGGTTTTTTCCTGGAGGATAAAAAGAGATTGGGCTTTGTTAAAACATAACAAAGATAAAGTGGAGCTGACTGCTCATCATTTCACTCTTCAGTTTAAACTAGAATAATAAACATGATATGAGTGTGTTGGGAGACTACCCTTCAAGGGCAGAGGGGGATGGAATGGGGATTTAGACCTGATCCTCCCAGCTTCAGATAGAGTCCACTGACAGATGGCTAAGAGTTAACTGGGGATAAACGGGAGCGCCAGTTGCCAGGGAGTCAGGATAGCTGAGTTCTTGTTCCAGTTCCGCTGCTGATTGCTCTGTGACCTCAGGCCTCTTTCTCTCGCCTGTGAGGCTGGTTGCAGCTTTAGTTTCCTTGTCCGTAAAATGAGGACTAGACTCGGTATTTTGAAAGTATGGACGCAGAGACCTCCCATCCTCCAAGGGTAAGCTCGGGCTACAGCGTATGGACGCGAGTGGAGATAGGAGGATGGCCCAGCAGGTGGAACCGCAGCCAGCGCCCCTCCTTGCCCACTGCTGTCCTGCCTCAGGTGACTATTCTCTACTAGACACTTACCTAGGATTTCATCCCGAACAGAGAAATCGAAGGCCAACACAAGTGTGAAAACCACTGTGATTTGTGGTCCTGTAGGGGCTTGTCTCAGCTTGGTTCCAGTAGAGATTATAATCGAATATTGTAAAAGTGTATACTTCTTTTCTGTGTTTAAAGACTGTCACCTCCTCTCTCTCTCTCTCTCTCTCTCTCTCTCTCTCTCTCCTTCTCGGTCTCTTTCTCTTTGTTTTTGGCTCAGAGCTGGAAGATGGGAGGAAGAACACTAACAATTCCCAAGTGCCTGTCTCTGGGTTAGGCTTTTCATGTTCCTTAAACCTCACGGTGACCTTTTAAAATGGATATTATTGTTGCATTTTGGAGATTAGGAAACTGAGGCTCAGAGAGATTAAGTAATTTGCCCAAAGTGATAAAACTCAGGCAAGGGAGAAATTTTGGTCAATAAACCTTTGAACCTAAGAATTTCTTTGCTTTCCACAGAGGTGGAATCAAGATTATAATCATGCAGGCCAGCTTTGTACATATTTAAGCGGGCTTTTAAAATAACCTATTGAATCAATATAAAATTATGGGGGTCACTGTTTGTGATATTAATACGTTACAGCACCTAGCAGTTTACAAAGCTCTTTTACATTCAATAAGAAAGTATTACTCTCTTATCTCACCTTTGAAAGGAACCTCGGCAGTATGGCCTTTGATGGAACAATCCAGTGTGTGCTCTTGGGTGTACACGTGTTTGTTTACATATCATTAACTACTCGAAAGAGAAGTGGAGGAGTAGAAAGCAAAGATGAAACCTGCTCGTGGGTCTCAAAATTATTCAGGCGCTGGAGCTTCTGTCTTTCGGAACACAGGTCAATGAACTCAAGACTTAACTAAGAGTTTAGGGGAGGAAAGACTGCTGGTTCTTTACTTCAGCAGGAGACCCGTAGTCTGACTAGCATGCCAGGGGAGCGGAGGAGGAGAACAGGGCAGTGGGGCTTGTTTTCCACACCCTTTAGGAACACACCTACTGTAACGTGAGGTGCACCTGTATCTGAGCCTGGGCCGCTGTGCTCCTCTGGAGGGAAATAGCAGAAAAAGCCCCCGCGTTCCCCCCCCCCCCCGGGTTCTCAGGCAGGACCGCTCTGTGGATTCCAGGAGGCCCTGCCCACAGCAGTGGTGGAGAGCGTCCACTCACATCTCACAGGGCTGATTCTCCACAGCAGGTACTCACCCGGCCCGGGGCATTGGGGACGGCGCAGCAGGAGAAGGTGACTTGGCGTCCCAGGCCCCGCTGTTACGACCTGCACAAACATACACACAGGTTAGTCTCCAAGTCCTGAACCTGGGGCTGACGGTCACAGTGAGGCTGGCCTTTCCAGCAGGCTCAGAGATGTAGGCACATTTTTGGTTTTTTTCAGTCAAGCATGTAGAGGGGGTTACACAGAAGCTATTGGGGAAAGCCTATAGGCAAAGGTGATGAAATATCTAAATGATGGCAATTTATAAGCTCAGAACCAGAATGAGAAGTAGGGACTCCATCTTAATATTTCTAAATGACCTTCTCTTCCATGACACAAGCACAGAACCCCTGATTCTGTGGGCTCAGTGAAAGCCCCCCAGTGTTCCTATAGGAAGGAGCCAAGAGCTCATACCTGCATCTATATACACACACACTGCACAGATGTGCACACCAGCAGTGCCCAGGGACAACGTGACAGACCCACCACTCCCACTACGAGCCCACATGAACCTCACATTCACAGGCTGTTCATTCATCTCTGAATTCTCAGGCCTTTTTGCCCGTTGCACAGACAGATTGAGACAAGTAACAAGCTACTGCCTAATCGCATCTTCCAGAGTCACAGAAGGGACCCAGCGGGCCTCATCTGCTGCACCGCACTGCCCTCCCGCTACCTAAGGCAGGGGGCAGACGGTCATGAGGGAGGAACGGAGGCAGGCAGAGCTTCACCATCAGGACAGAGCAGGCCAGGAGGGAGAGAGCCAGACACCAAGCCAGCTCCCCTCCACGTCTCCTGGCTGCCTTCTCTCAGGGTGATGCTCACCTGCCTGGCCGTCACGGCCCAGTGAGACAAAAGCGCTTTATTGACTTAAAGTGAACCGAATACCCATTTTGTTAAGAAACGACTACATTTCTAAGCCCACAGTTCCTACTGGACCTACAGGGGATGCTCTGGAAATATAGGTTGGACCTGCCCTCAGTATGTATTATTTTAGTTTGCGAGATAAAGCACGTATCGGTGAGTGCTGAGGCAGTAATCGCCTACTGAGAATTACTGAGAACCTGGTACGTGAAGAGCACTGTGTCAGGGGTTGTGGAAGAGGTGAAGACGCAGAGATAGGCCTCTGCCCCCTCGGAATTTGCAACATGAAGACATACGCCCGCCATGCAGCTTCACCTCACAGGACCACCTACGCCAAACACAAAAAAGAAAAAGGCCTCCACAGGCATGAAAAATAGAGATCATAAAGCTCATTCTCATGTACTTTAGAGAGAGAGAGAGAGAGGCCTTCAGGCTTTCGCTTAGAGCCCATCCACTCCTTTTCTACACACAGTCCTTACACAGAACTAGTTTCCACGAATGCCCGGAACGGCCCTCCACAGGACTCTCACTTACATGTTAACCCAATCTTGATGTGACTTTTAAGAACTTTTGCAAAAGAGACTATGTTCAGAATTTTTACCATTTCATATGACAATAAACTGCCATCTGAATATGAAGTGTGGGTCCAAGTGTGTCTCACTGGTTGGTGAACCAACCAAATGGATGTTGTCCTTCAAATTCTTAATACCTGACTGATGCTATTAAAATACCCTTGGCTACTCATAGATCTTGATGGAGGGTTTCAGGGACGGAGGGGGGAAAACGCTCGTCCGAAAAGTAAGGAAATAGAAAGAAGGTCTGAGTCAGAACTTCCTCCCTGGGGTTTTCCCTCTCTTTCGATGCCAAAGGCTCATCTGGCCTGGGGTACATGGTTGTCATATTTTTACTGCCTGGCTTCTCTACGGAGCTTCCCTTCCCTTCACATCTTCAGTCTGCCAACATGACCCTTCCCCCGCCCTCGCTCATAAATAACTTCTGCTATCAGAGAGGGAGGAGCATGCCTCCTTCCCCTGTGGTGGTACCATAAGTGTCGGTGGGAAACCCATGGTCTCACACCAGGACAGGGTTCTAGTTATTTCTTTGCCACCAGATGGGCTGGGTGACCTCTTACAAGTCACTGCGTTTCAGTCTCCCCCACTGTGAAATGGGGACACAACCACGCCCGTACCTAGCTCACAGTTATGGTGGTAAGACGAGAGGGGAACCTGGAAAATGTAAAGAATTAGCCAAATATAAACTAATATTTCTGGAAAGGGACTGAAAGTACTTGAGGTAAAAACATTACGCTAAGTGAAAAGAGCCAGAGGGAGAAGGCTTCCTACTATATGACTCCAGCTATATGAGATGTTCAGAAAAGGCCAATCTACATCAACAGGAAGCAGATCAGTGGTTGCCTGGGGCTGGGGGTGGGAAGAACATTCACCAAAAATGGGCATAAAGGATCTTTTGGAGTTGGTGTGGGCAAGGAGATTTTCTACAACTGGATTGTAGTGATGGTTGAAAAACTCTGTAAATGTAATGATTTATAAAAAATACTGCAGTACACTGTTGGTGGGAATGCAGACTGGTGCGGCCACTCTGGAAAACAATGTGGAGGTTCCTCATAAAATTAAAAATACATCTACCCTATGACCCAGAAATAGCACTGTTAGGAATTCATCCAAGGGATACGTGAGTGCTGATCATAGGGGCACATGCACCCCAATGTTTATAGCAGTGCTATCAATAATAGCTAAATTATGGAAAGAGCCCAAATGTCCATCGACTAATGAGTGGATAAAGAAGATGTGGTTTATATGTACAATGGAATACTATTTGGCAATGGGAAAGAATGAAATCCTGCCATTTGCAACAACACGGATGGAACCGGAAGGTATTATGCTAAGTGAAATAAGTCAGTCAGAGAAAGACAGATATCATATGTTTACACTCATATGTGGAACTTGAGAAACTTAACAGAAGTTAAGAGGAAGGGAAGGGGAAAAGATAGTTTCAAACAGAGAGGGAGGCAAACCGTAAGAGATTCTTAAATATAGAGAACAAACTGAGGCTTAATGAGGGGGCAGGGGAGAGGGGAAAATGGGTGGTGGGCATTGAGGAGGGCACTTGTTGGGATGAGCACTGGGTGTTGCATGTACGCGATGAATCACGGGAATCTCCCCCCGAAACCAAGAGCACAGTGTATACATTGTATGTTAGCTACCTTGACAACAAATTATACTTAAAAAATAATAACAATAAATAAAGTGACTGAAAATAGAAAAAAAATCCTGCAGTATACATGTAAAACAAGTGAGTTTTATATGTAAATTATAACTCACAAAGGTCAGTAAATATGATTACTGCTATTTTTGTTTTAGCATCTTGCTACCAACCACCACAGTGTCTCCAGGTGCTGGGCACTGCTGGGCACTGCGGGTACTTTCAATGTGCCATCTCGAAGCGTCACATAACATCACATGGAGCAAACGGAGGCCCAGAGAGGTTAAGTGGCAGGGCTGGGCTTGAAAAGCAAGGCTACCTGAGTTTCAAGCCAGGTGGGTACCTTTCCTCTCTGGCCAATGCCTCCTAGTGTTACTGTGGGCTCTGATCTGGCAGGTCAGATTCACCTGCTGTTTCTCCCTTACTTCAGGAAAGATTGGTGAAACTGAGCGGTGCTTTTGTGGATGCCCGTGGGAAGATGCAGAATGACTGTCCTATTTCATAGACCGGCTCTCTGCTGCTCTGGGCCTGAGGTCAGACCTAGGGGCATGCTGGGGGGGGGACAACCTGGTCCCCTCTTTGTGTCCAGGATCCTTGCTTTCTGATGAAGCCAAATTCCTGGCTGCAATACTCCAGAGGAGAAATTGGAAATGCAACAGAGGGAGATGTGTCCAAAAGCATAATGATAAGAAAAAAAAAATCAGCTTTGTTTTCATTGTATTGAGCAAAACATGATGTTAATGTTTGCATGGCTGGTGCTTACCAAAGTTCTCGACTAGGAAAACGACTTACTCTCAGTTTTTCCTTCTACCACATGTATTTTATGTATCATCCTCTCTTTGGTTCTACATACAATGTTGGTAAGTTTTCTTTTCCTTTTCTTTTCTTTTCTTTTCTTTTCTTTTCTTTTCTTTTCTTTTCTTTTCTTTTCTTATGTTTATTTATTTTTGAGAGAGACAGAGACAGAATGCGAGTGGGTTGGGGCAGAGAGAGAGGGAGACACAGAATCTGAAGCAGGCTCCAGGCTCCCAGCTGTCAGCACAGAGCCTGAGGCGGGGCTCGAACCCACGAGCTGCGAGATCATGACCTGAACTGAAGCCAGATGCTCAACCGACTGAGCCACCCAGGCGCCCCAACGTTGGCAAGTTTTCTTATCCTTAGCAATCCCAATGTTGGCACCGTAAGCCCTCGGGATTTCCGACTCTTTCCTAGCTCTTCTAGAAATCCTGGTATTATTAGTGGGGCTTGCACACCAGCTGGAGCATCGCTTACTCTCAGGCCCTGTATGAGCTCTTACCAAATAAAGAGATTTAATTTAACAATTTCAGAACAGTTTGGCTTACAGGTAACATTCAACTTGCATATTAACAGGGAATCGTAAATTCCCCAAACTCCTTCCCTATCTTAGGAAATTAGCAGATAGATCCCTTTTTAAATGCTACTTACTTAGAGGAAGTTCAGAGGGGCATCCCCTGTCTACCCTCTTCTGACAAAAGCTGCAAATAGGCTCTAAATCACGTTTAGAAATAAATCACTAAAAAATGTCAGTCTTTCAGTTTGTTTAGACCAGTGGTTCTTAACTAGGAATATTTTGTCCCTCCTGCCCCTGGGACATTTGGCAATGTCTGGAGACACCTTAGCTTATCACTACTGGGGAGATGATGTTATTGGCACCTATTTGGGGCAGAGGCGGCCAAGGATGTTGCTAAACATCTCACGTGCACAGGGCAGTTAGGACAACAAAGAATGATCTAGCCCTAAATACCAACTGTGTGGAGGCTGAGACACTCTGATGCAGGGTAAAACTTTATGCAGAAAGAAAGAAACAACTGTTCCCTGGGATGTGTACAGGGCACTCCGCCAGACTGGTCACGAATTAAGACATGCTAAACAAAGGATTCCAAAGAATGGTAATAATAATAACAAAGAGCTTACTCAACTTAATTTTCACGCTCCCTTAGGCATAGGTGCCATTTTCTCCTCCCATGTTTTCAGAGGAGAAAACTAAGAAACGTACAGATTGCTTAGCTTGTTTGAAGTCTGGCACCTAGCGCAAGTCGGAATCCAGATCTGAGCCCTCTGGCTTTGGAGTCTGTGCTGTCCTGAAACTGTGCTTCTCTGTATGGAGCATCGAGTAGAGGGAGACATTGCCCCTGCACCTAATTCACGGTGTGATCCTCACCAAGTACCTTCTTAGCCATCAAAGAGCCAAAAGCAGCACCCATTAGCAGAGGCAACTCTCATGGTGCGGACAGAAATACCAATCGAAGCCTTAGCATTTTCATCATGCCTATCTGGGCATTATCCGTAGTCTTCAAAGGCTAGTGGACAGTTATACAGAGACACAGGCAAGTAGCCTGAACATTCCTTTTATAAAAATCATCTCTGAAAACTGCTGTTTGCAAACTCAGAAACTCATTCTAACTGTTCAGGTTTCGTCCCTCCCAAATTATCTCACTTCCTTCCTCTTCCTGTACTTCTTCCCGTCCGTGTCCACCAGTCACATAACCAGGAAATTATTTTCTTGTTCAGGTTTGGTTTCTTCTGGTGCCTCTAGTATTAAAATACAGCTATACTAGATTAATAGAAAACAAAACTGGCAGCATTTGGAGGCATTCAGAAACTCATCTCAGTGACTGAGGAGAGAGCCAAAAGGCAAGGGTATGGCTAAGTGGACTCTCGAACACAGGAGACAGAAGGTATGAAGTGACAAAGTAAAGGAAGCCTAGACTAAGGTAGTGGCAACGAAAACGGAAGAGCAAATTCAAGAAAAAGAAATGGCAGACTTTGGAAAGAACACAGGCCCTCAGGCATGTGACCTGGAGGCCGACATGCACAGAGGAACAGGACCATCCTAATGGCAGAGAGCTGATGAAGGCATTGAGCTTGAGGCCCTGGGTATGTCAAGTTGTTCAGAAGAGAAATTAGGTCAAAGTTGCACACCACGGGGCGCCTGCGTGGCTCAGTCAGTTAAGCATCTGGCTTCGGCTCAGGTCGTGATCTCACAGTTTGTGGGTTTGAGCCCCGCATCAGGCTCTCTGCTGTCAGCGCAGAGCCCGCGTTGGATCCTCTGTCTCCCTCTCTCCGCCCCTCCATCCCTCTCTCTCTCTCTCTCTCTTTCTCTCTCTCTTTCCCTCTCTCTCAAAAATAAACATTTTTAAAAAGCTTATTTATAGTTAAAAAGTTGCACACCAGAGAATTATTGGCTTGGACAAGAGCACTGAGGCCAGAAGAATGGATGGACCCCAAAGAAGTGAAAGAGAATATTCTTTCCCAAGCATGTGCCGTGTGCCAGGCACCGCATTAAAGATTTCCTGGGCACAATTCCAGAATTCTCCTGTCACAGGGCAGGGGCTACTATCTCCATTTACGGAGGAGAAAATCTGAAGATTGGAGAGGCAAAGGACGGGCCCAAAGTGGTACAGCTGGTAACTGGGAGCACCGGGATTCCAACCCATGTCTGTCTGGTCCCAAACCCAAGCTTTTAACCACCACAATATTCTGAAAGAAGAGTGGAGGGCTGAGAACTGAACAGTGAAGACACCCTCAGTCAGGGGAGGGGGAAAGAAGGAGCCAGAAAAGTACCCAAAAAAGTAGGAGAAAAGCCAGGACTGTCTAACAGAGGCCTTGGGATATGGGGGAGAGGGCCCCTCAACATAGGTGCTACGAGACAGTGGATGAGGATGAGCACAAGACCTTCTGTCACAATTTATGAAGAAATTTGGAAACACAAGCGATTATTTCTTAATACTGGATCTGAGTTGTTTGTGTTGTTTGGAATAGATTTAAAAACCAACCCCCCAGATGCAATCGTTTCACACACACACACACACACACACACACACACACACACAGCATCGAATCACGCCTATACTTTACCTGACGCTGTCCCAGGAGGAGAGGCTGGCTTTGATGCGTTATTTGGTTTCGTAGATCTATTCACCGTGGGAGCTTAAACACACAAATACATGCATATATATATATATATATAACAATGATAAATACAGTTTGTTGAGGGAGATTCACACTTATGGAAAAATGGAAAAATGCATCGTGGGAATTTGTAAAGAACGGGAAACACAACTGTTCAACACACAAGCCATGAAAAGAAGCCTTCTCCGAAGAAGCATCTTTAGAGTAAATGTATTAATGATTAAGGGAATAATCAATCTCTTGGATTCTGTGGGGTTTGGGGGCGCAATTTAATATCTATTTGTGGTTTCATGGTGATGGGTAGCTCAGGAGGGCCTTGAAGTTGCTGGCAATATTTGGGGAGTGCAAGAGGGGGTTGCTACAGAATGGCAGAGTAAAAACAGGGAATGACCACTTTGGACTCATTTATCAGGTGAGTAATGTTACTTGAAGAGGCATCATGTTCTCCACAGTGACTCGCTCCAGAGTCAACACACCCCGCTCTGCTCCCGGTCCAAGGGTATGTGGCACCGGCTTCTAAAGATCACTTGTAATTGCACCTGTTACACCACGGAAGGCTTACAAACAAAACGTTTCTCATCGCTTGGGATAGCACTACATGTAAAGAGTCGGGCATATTTCGCTCCTTCTTCAGTCCTCTGCAGAAACTGTTCCGGTGCCATATTCGTGAGGCCAACACGGTGGCCTGCGGCTTTGTGAGGATTCAGTTTTATGAGAAATCCATTCTACGTGAGGACAGTTAAATAAGAACCTAGCTGCCTTCATAACTGGAGGTGGGAGTATGACAGGGTGGAAGGGCATGGGGGACCAAGGGCGGGACAGAGGTGGGTCTCTCCCTGATGCCTCTGCTCGGCCCCCACGGAAGGCAGACGTCGTGACCACAGAGGAGAGAGGCCTGGGCCCGGACTTTCTGTCCCCCCTGTTGGTGCTTGTCACCAGACAGCCTTGCGTGCCCCCATCCACCGCAAAAAGCGTTCGGGCGCTTAAAACTGCAAACGCTTGCCTTTTTCAGCTGGGAGTGAACTGCTTTCTGTGGGATGAATGTAGTTTTCGTCTTCATCCTCCAGAGGAACCACATAATCAGCCTGGAAGAAGTACGGAAACGAGTGAGAAGGAGGCCGTACATGCCACGTTCATCGTCTGGGGAGGAAGGATTTTGAAAATACCTTTGTTGAGACAGAATTCACACACCATTAAGTTCCCCTTTGTAAAGTGTATAGTTGGGTGGCTTTTAGTATATTCGCAGAGTGTGCAAGCATCACCCTAATCTAATTTGAGAACATTTTCATCCCCCCCAAACAGGAGCCCTGCGCTCATTAGTCACTTCTCATCGATCCCTTCCCGGACCCAGTCAACCACTGATCTACCTTCCGTCTCTAAGAGCTGCCCATTCTGGGCACTGCCTAGAAATGGAGTCACACGACAGGTAAGTCTTTTGTGACTTCTTTCATATAGCATAGTAATTTCCGGTTTCAACCACGTATCATGTATCAGTCTTTCACTCACTTGTATGGCCAAATGATAGTCCGTTATATGAATATAACACATTTTGATTATTCGGGTGGACCTTTGGGTGGTTTTCACTTTCCGGCTTTTATGAATAATGGTGCTGTGGACATTGGTGCGCGTCTTTGTGTTGATGTACGTTTCTCTCGGGAATATACCCAGTGGTGGAATTGCTGGGTCGTACAGTGGCTCTGTGTTTAAGTCTGGGGAACTGCCAGACTGTTTGCCAAAGTGCCTGTACCCTCTTCGTTCCCACCAGCAGTGTGCGAGCGCTCCGATTTCTCCGCGTCCTCACCGACACTTGTGACTGTCCGCCTTTTGGAATAGAACCATCCTGAGATGTAAAGTGGTATCTAATTATGGCTTTGACTTGCATTTCCCTGATGGTTCATGAGGTCGAGCCTCTTTTTGAATGCTTACTGCCCCTTTTTATAGCTTCTTTAGGCAAAAGTCTACTCGACTCCTTTGCCTATTTGTGTAATTGGGTTGTCTGTCTTTTTTATTATTGGGTTTATTATTGGGTTGGGTTCTTTAAATGCTCTAGACAGAAACCTCTTATCAAATATATAATTTGCAAGACTGTTCTCCCATTTTGTAGGTTGTCCTTATTTCTTGGTGGTGTCACTTGTAGCACAAAAGCTTTACATTTTGAAGCCCATTTTAACTAAGTTTTCTGTTGTTGCTTCTGCTTTTGGTGATGTATCTAAGATACTACTGCCTAATGCAAGGTTGTAGGGATTTATACCTTTGTTCTCTTCCAAGAATGTTATAGTTTTAGCCCTTACCTTTAGGCCTATGATCTATTTTTGGTTACTTTTTGTCTATCATATGACGGGGGCCACTCTTATGTTTTCGTATGTGGATATACGGGTCTCCTAGCACATTTTTTTAAAAAAACAATTCTTGGGGCGCTTGGGTGGCTCAGTCGGTTGAGCGTCCGACTTCGGCTCAGGTCACGATCTCGCCGTCCGTGAGTTCGAGCCCCGCGTCGGGCTCTGGGCTGGTGGCTCAGAGCCTGGAGCCTGCTTCCGATTCTGTGTCTCCCTCTCTCTCTGCCCCTCCCCCGTTCATGCTCTGTGTCTCTCTGTCTCAAAAATAAATAAATGTTAAAAAAAAAATTTAAAAAAACAATTCTTTCCCCACCGAATGGTCATGGCAACCTTGTCAATGATCAATTGACCAGAAATGAGGGGAGGAAGTGATTTTATGCTGACACGAAGCAAATGAGATGATCAGATCCCAAATGTGGTTTTTACCACCCATCTTGGGGGTAGCCAAGGAGGATACCAGGAGAAACAAAAACCGAACATTTACTGAGCACTTACTGCCAGGCACTCATCTGAGTACTCTACATGTGTTATTTCACTCAATCCTTAGAACCACCCAATAATATAGGTACTACTATCGGCTGCATTTCAAGATGAAGAAACTTGAAGAAACTGAGGCCCAGAGAAGTGAAGTAGCTGGTTCACGTCCTCATAGGTAAAAAGTAGAAGAGCTGGGGTTCAAGTATCAGTTCAAGGATCGAGCGCCCATACTCTTATCCACTACATTCTAGGACCTGCCTGCCTTCCCCTTCTTTTTCTGTCTTATTTCTACCCTCTCCTCGTAATTGCTATTTCTCATCTCTTTCTTCACCTCCACACCTGGCCTCTGTGACCTCGGACAAGTTCTTCAACCCCTTTGCGCCTCATCTGTACCATTTCCTTATCTGTAAAATGGGGGTGATAATAGTACAGATGTCGTAGCGTTCTTGGGAGAGTTTAATGGGATGAATACAAAGTGCTCCGAACACCAGTGGACACCTAGCACTCAAGTGACGGCCACTCGTGTCATTAGGGCACAGGTGCTTCTTCCTCCCGTGTTTTGCTCCCTCCCCAGCTCTCTGGTTAGCCTGTACCCCATACTTTTCCTGTAACCTGTACAGCAGAGCTAAGTATTTTTAGTTATTTATGCTTGTGCTTGACTTCTTCTTTTCCTATCTAATGGTTCAGCCAGATCTTAATGTTGGCCTATTTTTTTTCGTTTTTAACCTCTTTCTTATCTTGACTGTCCATCTGCCCATTCCAGAATGCAGCCGCCTCCATACTTCTCCTTTTCCCACTGGTTCAAACTTGCCTGAGCCACCTCCACAAGGCTACTATTAGCAAAACTCTGCCTCTCCCCACGGGGGTCCGCTCTCAGCTATTCACAGAAATGGAGAGCCTTATATAACACACACAGTATTCATTTGTATTCTGTGTCTCAATTTATATCTTCATATAGATTTGCCAAGCGCTGAAAGAATTCACAGTGAGCCCCTAACAGCTGGTCTCTGCATCCTGTCCCCCGGTCAGCTTCCTCCTGCCACCCTCTTCTCACCCCAAAAGGTCAGCATCACCTCTCAGACAGACAGACAGACAGAGGACTGGCAAACCTCCTTTCTCTCTCTGTCAGCTGACTTTCTGACTTAAACTTAAACTGTCCCTAGAGTAAAGTCATAAAGTAAAACGTTTCCAGAGGCAGGCAGGGAGACATGGGGACTGTGCAGAGGAAGGGCATGTTCATGCCTTGTACGAGTGGTGGGGACTATGACCAATGGAAACAAGGTCAGGGATTCACAGCTGAGCTGGAAGACTGCCATGAGGCTCAGCGGCTTTGAGGCCATGACTGACCCAGTGTTGCCCAGGCTTTCAGTTCTCAGGAGAAACTAGAAAATTGGATTTTGTAAAGAATCTAGAATATGCTAGAAAGGAACATACGACACAGGGAATCCTTCTATGGGTGAGGCACTGTAGTTAGTGCTGTTCTAACACTAAATCCTTAAAATAATCTGAAGAGATTAAAAACCGAGCCTCAGAGAGGTTATCTGGCTCGCCCAAAGTCACACAGCTAATACGGGTCAAAGCAGGAATTTGGGCCTAAATGCTGCCACTGTTTTATTTAAAAGTTTCCCTTGGGGCACCTGGGTGGCTCAGTCGGTTGAGCGTCCGACTTTGGCTCAGGTCATGATCTCGCTGTTCGTGGGTTCGAGCCCCCCATCAGGCCCTGTGCTGACAGCTCAGAGCCTGGAGCCTGCTTCGGATTCTGTGTCTCTCTCTCTCTATGCTCCTCCCCTGCTTACACCCTGTCTCTCTCTCAAGAAAAATAAAGATAAAAAAAAAAAAGTAAAGTTTCTCTTTTCCCTCCCCTGCTGGGCTACAAATTATATCAAGGTGGAAATGAAGGTGTTTTTACAACATATTTATACACTATAGGTTTTATCACCTCTAGGCATTTAGAAACAAGTCATTTCTTCAAAAGCTGCAGTAAGATTATGGTTAGAAGTTGCCTTTATTGTGATCTTGTTTCTGGGTTCTGGTATAGGGTTGTTCTGATGACTAAGTTCGAGGGCTTCACTTTGCCCTTATTTACAATGCGCGGACCTCTGGGAGCCACAACATATTAGGCCTTATCAGTCATTCCTACAACAGTCTGAATGAGTTTACCGGTTAGTTTTCAAATAGGAGCAATTCCATAGGGAATAAGACGTATAAAAAGCTGGGTGCTGCCAGAGGGGAGATTGATGAGTGAAACCCAGAGTCGAGTCCTGGACAATCTGCAAAGGTGGGTCCCTGGGTAGCGGCAGCTGAGGGAAAAGGGGGTGAGAGGCAAGGGCTGCCAGGGGGAAGTGAGGTGCGGGCTCCTGTGCCCGTTGTGTGGGGTCCCTGACGACTAGGGTCTCTGTTATTTGTCCTCCCGCGCTCCTGTGCACCTTGCAAGAGAAATGTGGAGAAGTGGCGAGGAGGCAGGGCAGAGAAGCAAAGGAGAGTAAAGATAGAGAAATTTATGGAGGAAGGAGAAGATTCACAGGAAACCCCCGAAGAGGCTAATCAGAGGGGCACAGATCCAGTGCTGGTATCACCCGTACGCCCTGGGAATGAACATGCTTAAACTAAGGCCATACATGCCTTTTTTAGAGAAGAAAACCTTTGGGATTAACGGTGGGGAGTTAGAGGGGTGGGCGAGGAGGAGGAAGGCATGTCAGACGCCAGACGGTCCTGGCCGGTCCCCCTCCCCCCTGCATCCTGCCTTCCACTCGGACTGGGAAGCCTTCAGGACAGATTTCGGTTACCTCATCCTCAAGGTCTTTGGGTTTGGGTGGGACTTGAGGTTTCTGAAGAGAAGTCAGGGCCGGCAGAGTGGAGGTCAGCCTTGTCTTTGCCGAAGGCCAGTTGGGCTTACTTGGAAGTGTCTTGCTGAAGGGCGGAGACTGCCTCTGGCTTGATCGATTGTCTTGAAAGGAACAATGACAAAATAGAAAATGAGAGGGGGGCTCTGGACCATTCCCTGCACCCAAGTATAAAACCACCCACATCTATGTAGTCACAAACAATTATTCCAGGCAGTCCTTAAAAGCGTAAAATGACATGTTAGGCAAAAATTTTCAATTGCCTGTTCCTTACATTACACTCTCCCACAAGAATGACGGCTACAGGACTCAGAAGAGCCTACGGCCCTGCACTTTGCCAGACAGAGTGGATGGCTGACCTTGGCAGCAGGGAGGCCCGAGAGGGGTGTGCTCCTCGAAGGTTCACTTTGCTCTATGAACCCTTAAGGGCAGTGACTCTCAATCCTCCTTACGTAGAAGAACCACCTGGGGAATTTTAAGAAAATGTTAAGGCCCAGGCCCCACCCCAGACATACTGGGAAGAACTTGTGAGGAAGGTCTTGGCGTTAATAGTTTCAAGTCTCCCAGGTTATTTTATTATTATTATTATTGTTTAACAATTTTTTTTTAATGTTTATTTTCGAGAGACAGAGAGAGAGTGAACGGAGGAGAGGCACAGAGACGGGGGGGACACAGAATCCGAAGCAGGCTCCAGCCTCTGAGCTGTCAGCATAGAGCCCAATGTGGGGCTCCAAATCACAAAGTGGGAGATCGTGACCTGAGTCGAAGTCGGACGCTTAACTGACTGAACCACCCAGGCGCCCCTCTCCCAGGTTATCCTAAGGCGGATTCAGGGTTGCAGCTACTCATCTGAGTGAACACACACATTCTTCCTCTCAATGATTTCCCTTCAATCATGGAGGGCCCCTGAGTTACCCCTTGTCGGGAACTGTCCTTGGCATGTGTCAGGGAAGGAACACAAGTTCCAAAGCCAAATGGCCCTGAGTTGGGTCCTCTGCTCTGCCCCTCACTGGCTGAGCTCTGTTTGGGCTACTTATTCATTATCCAGCCTCTCTGGGACTCACATTCCTCTTTTGTTTCGTTTTGTTTTAACCATTTTATTTATTTTGAGAATGGGGGCAGAGAAAGAGGGGGAGAGAATCCCAAGCAGGTTCCATGCCATCAGTGCAGAGCCTGATGTGGGGCTCGATCTCACAAACCTTGAGATCATGAGCTGAGCCCAGATCAAGAGTCAGAGGCTTAGAAGACTGAGCCACCCAGGCGCCCCCACATTCCTCATTTAGAAAGTGAGGATCATAACATCCACCTGAGAGGGCCACTGTAGGGACTGGGAAGAAAGCAGTGCAAGCTGTGGGAGCAGTGCCTGGCAGAGTGGATGCCTAATCCATAGGACCAATATGGCGACGTGACATGGCCGAGGCGTAAGGCAACAGGGAGTCTGCTCAGTGGAATCTGAGCACGTTGCAGACTGATAACGCTGTAGGGAAAGCTTAGCACAGGAGGAACCTGGCATGTCCCCATCCTGGGAGCAGCCCAGGCACTCACACTGGCTTCTGCCCCACCCTTAACTTCATGAGGCTGCCCCCCGCCCCCACCACCCGGCCGCCAGGCCCATCCCCTGCTCTCCTCCCGGTGCCAGCTCCTGCCCTGTCCAAGGTGTGCCGTTCGCTTCACATTGGATGTCTCCTTGGAAGGCTCCCTCTGGGTGTTGTGGTCGGGCTGGGGCTCCGGGTCAGCCGCTTTGCTGTGCCCATAACTCTGTCAGGTTTTCTAGTTTTATTTGCAGCTCTTAGAGTTTACTGGGATTTCTTAATGTAAGATCTAAGCCCATCAAAAGTAGCAAAATACACAAGACAGGCTTTGAAGAGCGTGGCCATGAATGAGCCACTGCGCCCCCTCCCCTTAACTGCAGTTTGCTGGCCTATAAAATGGGCCTAATGCAGCCCCTTCCTTCCCAGGGTCCTGTTGCTTGAACAAGGTCACAAATCTGGTGAGCCAGGGCTTTGGGGGCTGAGAAGCCCAGCGTGCGTCCCAGCTCTGCCACTCCCCAAAGCGGTTCACTCCTCTGAACCTCACTTTCCTCCTTCATAAAGTGAGGACGGATGCCTCTTCCGTAAGCTTCTCGAGAGGGTGAAGTAGGCCACGACTGTGAAGCACGACGCTGTGAGCTACAAACACTCTGGGAGTGTGTCTGTCTTGCTTGCTGTTGAAAGCTCCAGGCTCAGCATAGCTGTGGCACACAGTAGGTGCTCAACAGGTGAGTTGTGGCATGAAGCAAGGGTCCATGCTTAGTGCCCCGTGAGGAGGCAGTTAATGGCAGTGATAATGGACAGAGTCCTCTACACGTAAGGGCTCTCTGTACAAATGCTGGCGTCACTGTGATCATCACAGACACACTCCCTTCCACGCCTCTGCTGAACTTAGTCGCCTGCAACCCAGGCTTCTTCCTGGGGGACATTAAGAGTCACCTCAGGTCTGGAGGCGACACCTGAGCTGTGCCCATTTAACCTACAGCTGATTCCACACTTAGAGCTCCTCACCCACCTCCACTCCCTGCTGAAAACCCACAGTCTAGACTCAGAGTGTGGGCTGCCTGCGTAGGGGTGGGCATGAAGGAACGGGGCCATTGGCAGATACTGGGATCCCTGAAGATCATCCTCGTTCTGCACGGATGTCTCAAAAGAAATTCCAGAACCTTGTGTGCGGGAAACCCCAAAAGAAGCAGGTACTAACCTCAGGGCTGATTTCTCATGGGATTATCTGGAGTTGGGCTGGGGTGGGGCGGGGGCAACCGTCAGGGCATGCGCCTTTTGTCTTTTACCTGTTTTTACCCTTGGAAACTTGGGAAGGGATAGCGTTCCCCCTCCCCCAGGCAAGCGTTCCATCTGGGGCTCCCTGGCTTGTGAGTGAGCAGATGACCCACGTGGGGGTGGCCAGGGTGGGAGGCACTCAGCGTCCTGCCAGCCCGGCTCGACCCCCCTTCCCCATGCCTGGCGGGCTGGGCGCCCAGGGTCGGGGAGGGGGGGGGGGCTGCCTCACCTATGTAGTCGCCCCTGGTGAAGGGCAGGGCTGGGTGAACGGTTCTCGTCTCCTGCTCCGCGGGCGGCGGCTCATAACTGTCGTCCCCAGTCTCTTCCGCGGGGAGCACGTACATCTCCGAGTCCGAGTGCTCGTCTGGGTGTTCATAGTCGCTGTCCTGCAAATGCACACCGAATGCTCAGCGCCCTGTCTGTGCTCAGCCATCGAGACAGCTCTGGCGTTAGGAGGCGGGAGCTGCTCCCCCAGCGTAGGGACCAGAGAGCGAGGCTTGGAAGGGTTGGCTAAGCAAGGTTGGGCAGCCATCAGAGGCAAAGCTGGGGTTGAGGCCGGGCCTTTCTGCCTCCAGAATTTATCACCTGAACCACTATCCTGGGGGAGCATGTGGACCATTTAACAGGAAGGGTGGCTGAAACTCTGTGTGTCTGCAAAGAAGAACAGTCGGAGATAAAATACATTTTTAGAAGACAGAAAAAGGACGCAATAAAATAGAATAACCAATAGGTTTTGTTTATCATGAATGCTGACGGTTGAGGAAAAAAATTAATATGAAAGGGTAAAGGTTTGCATAGAATATACAGATACCTTTGAGGAGATGAGGTGTGTGTGTGTGTGTGTGTGTGTGTGTGTGTGTGTGTTTTAATAGAGCTGATAAGCTGCAGGGGCTAGGCTTCGACCTGACCCGGAGTCCATTCTCTTTCTTTTTGTTTTTCTTGTTTTAAAGATAAATTTTAGTTAAGTCTTCACTGAAATGATCGAATATTGAATATTCAATACGTATGGGAAATACATTCACACAGCAATAGTTCAAAAGGATGTCAAGTCTCCTTCCCAGGCTCTCAGTTCTTCTCCCCAGAGGTGCAGTTCCTAGTTTCTTGGGCATTTTGTTCAGAGATCGCTTAAGCATACTACACCCATATGCATATTCCCGTGCAGGAAATATTTGATCCAGGACTTAAGAGGTCTTCTGTCCACACCGCCTGATACACTGCGTGATTCATACATGAGCTTCCAATGAATGCATGATGCACCTGCCTTTCGGCCTGTCTCCTTCCACCTGCAATCGCACAACACCGACGCAGGTACAGTGTGACACAAACACAGTGGTTCCTTCATTGTTGTCTCCTCGGGGCCTGTGGCAGGGACCAGCACAGGACAGGAGCGCAGTATGTTTGCAGCGAATGGATGAGCGAGTGAGTGAGGACCGCTTTCCTCCTGAGTCTGTAGGGACATGGAGGAGAGGACAGGAGAGGGAGAGGGTGAATAGCAGGAGAGGGAGAGAGAAAGGCGGCTGAAAAGGGAACTTTTCCCGAGGTGGTGGAGGAGAATTGGGAGAGAATAGAAGGAAGCAGGAGCTCAAGGAGGGTCCTTGTCCTTGTCCTAAAGCAGAAGAGTCAGGAAGGGACAGGGAGCGGGGAGGTAAGAGAAGTCTTGTACGGGGATTTTCCCAAACCCCTGTTTCAGTAACAGCAGACAGCGAGGCTCAATAATCTTCCTGACCATGAATATGAAATTGAGGTGAATAGAATAATGGGAATGATAACGATTATTTTAACATTTCTATGTACTGCACACCTCAGTTACCCTCTACCAGTATCATATGAGAGAAACTGAGGCATGAGGAGTTGAATAATTTGGGGCTGTTCTGTGTTCTGAAGAAGCAGTGACTGTTCTCAAACAAGCGGCCTGGAAGGTGGAGTGAGAGCAGAAAAGCAGCCCGAGGCAAGAACCCGGCTCTGAAAGTCTCATCTAGCCAGCCTGAAGTGGTCGGGGCCCCTCCTCATCCTGGGCAACCAAAAGGCCCGTCTCTGTGGCTGCAGCATCCCAGGGAGACAGCAGTGAACGCGCTGAGAAACGGGTGCTTCATAACCATCTGGAAAGTGAAAGAATCAGTAGGCGCCCAGACGCCTGTGCCTGGGAGGGGGAGACAGTTCAGGCAGCCCACTTTGTCTCAGTTTTCATCGGAGCGGGCACCGTGCTTCCCTAGACTTGATCACCTGGAGGCTGGGGAGCAGTGTGCCTCCTGGGAAGGACACAGGGGTCTTCACAGCCCCTTGGGCAGAGCAGCCTGACTGAGAGGACCAGGCTGGCCGAAGAGGCAGAGGAGGTTGAGGAGGGGCGCCTCTGCGTCAGCTGCTCTTGGCAGGCCAACGCTGACACGGGGCTGCCCATCAGACGTAACGCCCATGAGGACTGGGCTGCGACCTCAAGAGCAATGGGAGGAGGGGTTCTACCTCGGCTGCAGGAAAGGCCTTCCTGAGAAGGAGACGTTTAAGCCAAGCCTGAAGGACAACAAGGAGCAGAGCAAATGAGGGAGAATGGGGACGCCCTTTGGTTTCTCCTCTCTTCCCTCTTCCTTCGCCTGCCCAAGGTCCGTGAGTCAAATTGCCGAGCAGGCATGACCTTGACCTGCTGTGAGACTAAGGGCAGATCTGTGCATCTGGGCCGTAATGGACAAGGCCCTGCTGGGGGTGGTGGTGCAAGGAAGGCCGGACAGGTCCGCAGGGGCTGGATTTCATCTGACCTGGAGACTACAAGCCTGGATTTCATTCTGTGTACAATGGGAATCCAATAAGGTCAAAATAATTGTGAGTGAATGTTTACTCAATCTTTATTACAGCAGGTAACTTAATTTTTTGGTTGTTTGGCTTTGGGACACAAGTCACGCTCTCCTCTCCAGGCTGACTCTATTTGTATTTTCTAAGTCCCTACCATGTGCTCTTTTTCTCCAGCCTGCGAGCTCCATGTTCTTGATTTCCCTGTGGTTGTGGACCAGCTCTCAACTTTGCTTCAGACGTGGCTGGGCGCGTGCGGCCAGCAGGGGGCGCAGCTGCAGCGCTTCGGAGGGACCAGCGGCTGCCGGGCCCTGGGAGGAACTCCACACCCAGCTGACCTGCAGAGAACCCCTGTCATCCCCTCTTTTTTACACATCTTCGCTCTGCAGTTGAGAAGGGAGATACTCCTGTCTCATAATACGTTGAATATACTCCAGGTGGTGTACACAGTGTGGATGGAGCTGGGCTCAGACTCAGTTCTGGGCACTGGATTGAAGTCCTGGGCTCTCATTACACTGGCCACTGAGTAACTGAATTTCCGTGTGCAAGTCCTTTTCATTCTCTTAGCCTTGGTTTCCTTATCTGTAAAAGGGGGTGTGTGGTTGTGTGGAGGCCCTCTTGGATCCTGTCCAGATAAAACACACGTAGAGTGGAGCAGGCTAACATTCTGGATGAATTCGATACAAATGAAGAATAATTGTTACAAAAAAGTTTTTAGGCTGTCTTGTCCCTACAAGACTTCACCCAAGAGAGCAGTGAGCACTGGGGCCCTGTGGGCTACAGAGCCACCTTGGAGAAGTTGACAGTTAATTCTGACACATCACCTTCCGTATCATCACGGCCAGGTCCCTTGCTCAGTCTGTGGCCCCCAGCATCTGCTACTGTCCTCTTGGTCACTGCAAGCACCTTAGAGTTTAAAAGCCAGGTTTTGAGACCTGAGGGCTTGGGTTGGAATTTTGGAACTGCAAGTTACTTAAACTCTCCATGCCTTGGTTTCTTTACCTGTAGAATGAGCAGGGCTGATATTCACAATGTTTGACAACTAGCATGGCTCAGGTCCCAACTTGGCCCTAAAAAGTGTCCCAGAGGCCCCCTGATGCGCCAGGCACTCACTCTTTGATGTTGGTTTTTGATGTTTGGCTCCTGGATAAGGCCCAGGCAGCGATGGGACACTGAGGAATTCAGGGCAGAGGCATTTGTCAACTGATATGGAAATATTTAAAAAACATTCTAACATGTGTTTTGGCTGTGCTGGTTAGTACTCTGAATACCAGCACTGAAGACAGGGATAAGAATGCCTACACACAGGGCTGTGGGGAGGCTCACATGAGGTAATGCCGATGAAGCACTTAGCCTGGCACATGGGGGTGCTAGGTCAAGTCAGCCATCATGCGGTTCTTGCTGCCTTGTCTGTAGGTGGCCTTTCCAGCCCAGCCATCTCCCTGCTGGGATGTGCAGCTGACTATGAGCATGTAATTCAGAAACAAGCCCTTCAAAAGGCCTCCCACGGACCCTGGTGGAAAGGATGATCTTCTGATCCCAGGAGCAAATACTTACAAAGTCATCTGACCACTGCTCCTCTTCGTCAGCAAGGTCTTCTGCAGTGGCATGTGGGAAGCAGAAAGCACAAGCGTCAATCTCAGCTCCACCCTGTCCCCAGGCTCCCTGCGCCCACCTTTCCTTGCCCCTGGGCTTCCTGGTCCTGTTTCCTTGGCCTTGAACGGTTATTACACATACCTCGTGTTCATCCACTTTCGACTCCTCTTTTTTGAAAAAATCAGTTCTCAAAGCATAAAGGGACGTTCCACTGAACAGAGAAACGGTACATCTGAACCATGTCCGTTTTTGTTAAGGAACACTTTTGGGACTTTAGAACGATCCGGGAGGCACCTGCAATCCGTACCATGCTGCTTCTAAGGATTCCTTTGAATCAATATATGGATGGTATAGTAGGAAGAGCACTGGACAGGGAGTCAGATAGACCAAAACTCTCATGCAGGCTCTGTTCTTAACTAGTTGGAGGGTAGGCAAGACAATTAACATCTCTGGGCCTCAGTTTTAAGATCTATGGGATCACTTCTGTGATTCTCTGTAGCTCTAACTTTGACTTTCTTATTGAAAAGCATTTACCCGGTGCTTTACTACACGCTGGGCAATATCATCAGAGTTTTGCACTCAATTAGCTCCCTCAAAACCTTACGAGGAAACTGAGCCCTAGAGAAAATAAGCCATTTGCCCAAGGTCAGATAGTAAATAATAGAGCCAGGAGTTGAACCCTGTAGGTAGACTTCCAAGTGCATGCTCTGAACTCCAATGTCACACTGCCTCACTGTCTTTGAGCTCCAGGGTTCAAGCCCTGTCCTCGGCTCCGCAGGCAGTGTAAAAATGGATATAACAGGTCTCAAGTAGCTGAGGATCTTGAAGAATAAAATTGATCTGAATTATGACAGCCAAGGAGAATATTTGACCCCCTTTACTCCAAAACACACTTAGAGTATGAGAAGCTTAGCATCCATCCCATTGCATATGCTGACATTAGAGGTTAAATACAATTTACTCAGCTATGTACAGATCAACCAGGCACAGGTCCAGAGGGCAGTGTGGCTCCAGCGACTATCCCATAGAGGCATCCCATTGCGCAGCCATGGCTAGAGGGCCCAGTGAATGGTCCCTGAATCCCCCAGAGCCTCTCTAGAATCTTTTCTTGCCATTTCTAGCCCCTGCTATCGCAGGCTACTGACTCCAGATCTGGGTAGACTCCAAAGAGGCACAAGGAAAAGAATTGCACATTAAAAATGGGGGCCTGTGCTCTGGAAAGCAGTGTGGAGGTTCCTCAGAAAATTAAAAATAGACCTACCCTATGACCCAGCAATAGCACTGCTAAGAATTTACCCAAGGGATACAGGAGTACTGATGCATAAGGGCACTTGTACCCCAATGTTTATAGCAGCACTCTCAACAATAGCCAAATTATGGAAAGAGCCTAAATGTCCATCAACTGATGAATGGATAAAGAAATTGTGGTTTATATACACTATGGAATACTACGTGGCAATGAGAAAAAATGAAATATGGCCTTTTGTAGCAACGTGGATGGAACTGGAGAGTGTGATGCTAAGTGAAATAAGCCATACAGAGAAAGACAGATACCATATGGTTTCACTCTTATGTGGATCCTGAGAAACTTAACAGGAACTCATGGGGGAGGGGAGGGGAAAAAAAAAAAGAAATTAGAGTGGGAGAGAGCCAAAGCATAAGAGACTGTTAAAAACTGAGAACAAACTGAGGGTTGATGGGGGGTGGGAGGGAGGGGAGGGTGGGTGATGGGTATTGAGGAGGGCACCTTTTGGGATGAGCACTGGGTGTTGTATGGAAACCAATTTGGCAATAAATTTCATATATTGAAAAAAAAAATGGGGGCCTGAAGGAGGTGTTTAGATCAGAGTGGCCGGATTTTAAACTGTGGCAGCAACAGCGCCCTCTCATGGGAAAAACGTGATAGGCGCTAAGACAGAGCTTTCTTCTAGGAGCCAAATAATGGGTCAAACTTTGACATTAACAGAAAAAAAAATTTATTAAATTATGATTTGGCCTCATGTATACCAAATTAGAGTATACTGCAACCACTGGGGTTTTCCAAGAAACTCCAGAAGAATAGATGACTAAGTCCTCTTCCCAATACCTGGCGCTGAGCGGGAATAGGTTTCTAATACCTTAAGTTTGGGGATAATTGAAGATCAGCACTTAAGGGGCCACAATGTTTTTGTTTCGACCTTTAAAATAGAAACATTTATAAATTGATGTTATAAATCACACTTCCCTGCCTTGATCAGCCATGCCTGCCGAACCTTTTCTCGGGGACCCAGGGTCCACTTTGTGGTCAGACACTGCTCAAAGTACTCGCAGGAGCTGTCTAACTCCTTCTCCTGTCCCCATTATCTTTTCTCTCCCACACATCCTTCATACTGTTTCTAGTCATTTTCTTAAAATACAGTTTGAATCATGCTGCTCCTTTCCTCAAGAATCATCAGTAGCTCCCTATGGAGTGAAGTCAAGGCTCTATGTCAACACATCAAATGCCTTCATCTCCTGTCCCTCTCTGGACTTCTCTCACACAGCCTTCCACGTTCACTGATACTGGAAGCATGTTCCTCCCAGCCTGCACTTTTGGTGGTTCTCCGCTCCGTTCACGCTGTTCCCCCAGACCCTGTTCCTGGGAGAGCCCTGTCATACCTCTGCCATACAATCTTCCCCAGTCCCTCAGGTTATAACCCACTACTCCTTCCTCTGGGAGGGACTCCTTCCTCCTCCCTCTTAGATGCTGCTGGCACCCTGACGACATAGGCACTGCATTCTGCCCTATGCTGGGATTCATTTGCTCGTGTCTCTCTATACCGAAAAGCAAGGCCTATTTAGTTTGCCTTTGTATCTGGATGACCCTTGGCATTTGTAATCCTGCGCAGTAATAAAAGTATGAACCAATAAATGAGTTGAATGAATGAAAATTAGGATAATAATAATAGATTGCATTTATTGAACACTTCCTGTGTGCTCAGCGCTAGGATAAGTGTACTTTCTCAATTATCCTCAAAATAGCACTTTGTGGTAGGTGCCCTTATGATCTCACTTTTGCAGTCGAGGAAACTGGGGCTAAGAGTGTCTGCAAAACCTGTCTGAGGCCACGTGGCTGGTGAATGTGGAGGGTAGACTGGGGGCCGGGGTACCTGTGTTGGCTCCTGCAGCTAAAATCTCATGTAAACTGGGGCGCCTGGGTGGCGCAGTCGGTTAAGCGTCCGACTTCAGCCAGGTCACGATCTCGCGGTCTGTGAGTTCGAGCCCCGCGTCGGGCTCTGGGCTGATGGCTTGGAGCCTGGAGCCTGTTTCCGATTCTGTGTCTCCCTCTCTCTCTGCCCCTCCCCCGTTCATGCTCTCTCTCTGTCCCAAAAATAAATAAACGTTGCAAAAAAAAAAAATTTAAAAAAAAAAAAAATAAAAAAAATAAAATCTCATGTAAACTGCCTGGCCCTCTACTGTGGCTTCAGATAAAGCATAGGAGAAACAGGATGGCCCGGTGCAGGTATCATGGGGCACTGAGGCAGAAAAGAGAGAAAAGCATCATCATGTGGGAGAGTTACCTGATGGTGCCCAGCCCACTACACCCATCCTACAGGCAGCTTGCAATCTCTTACTCATAAAATCACAGCCCTCACGCCATTTCCCAGACTGAAAAGCATGAGAGTCCAAAGAACTAGGTCCAAAGTAGGGGATGTCCAGAACCTCAGTGAGTCTCCTAATATGGTTGGTTGTGGTTTTAGAACCAGGCTCCCTGGGTTCAAATCCTGGCTCTGCTCTTTACTACCTGCTTGGCAGTGGACCGGTACTTTGTTTAAAGCTCAATTTCTCTCCAGGGCAACAAGGGTAGGAATAGTGCCTGCCTTGTGTTTTTATGAGAATCAAGTAATACAATACATGTGAAGTGCTTCACAAAGCCTGGCATATAGTAAATGCTGTATTAATGTTACTTATTGTTTTCTCGGGTATTGATAATGTCTTAGTAAACCCTCAAAACAATATCAATTCTATTTCACTCTAATGGCAACCACACAGTATGGTTACCATTTAGAAATGGACCCCAGAGAGCCTCAAGTATAGAGGGTGATGTTTTCAGGAGGGTAAATTCAAGCGTAATACGGGCCGGGTGGTTTAACTTGAGATGTAAGGTTGCATGCAAGAACCTGGCAGGTTTCTTCCTGGCAGGAAGCTGAGATGCTGGCTCAGCCTCCTTATTAGGGAAAGCCTTTTCTATTGTGTCGCGTTTCTGGCTTGTGCTCCATTTACGGTGTCGCAATCCCACGCCACACAATGGAGGGACTCCTCCCCTTGCCTGGCCCAGGCTTTGTGATTCACATGCCCCACCCCACAAGCCTGTGGGCACAGCACTACGTGACATGTGAGAACGCCACGATGACCCCACCTCGGTGTGCACGCTGGGGTTTTGAGCTTTGGGCTCTCAGGTCAGGCTGCCGTGATCAAAATCCCGATTCTGCCATTTGCTAGCAGTGTGACAGGCAAGTTGCTTAACCTCTGGATATCTGTTTTCTCGTCACTGAAATGGACATGACTAATAGTGCCTATATTATGGGGCTTTGAGAGAATGAAATAGCCCAGGGAAAGTGCACAGAAGGGTGCCTGATAGAAGTAAGGGCTCAACGGGAGCCGTGTGTGACTATCAATCTACTTTAATGATCATAATAACCTGAAGGATAGGTCGTCACTCTCATCTCCAAGCAGGAAGCTGAGGCTCAGGGAAGTTTTAAACTGTTCTAGGTTCTCAGTGTTTAGGGGCCACAGCCAGGATTCTAACCCAGGGCTAAAGGACCCCAAAGTCCAAGATCTTCTCACGGAGCCATGGAGGGAATAGACCTAGAGTCTAGGAGGGCAGCCATGTATCACACTGATGACAACCCAGGGCAGTGTAAACTTTCCTGACAAACGTCCCTACACCTGGGATCACGGTCAGATGCTGGGAAAGCTCCAGGAAGGGTGCTGCATGAGCTCGCACGAGGCTGTGTGGTGGCAGTGGGACTGAACTGGGCCTTGAAGGACGAGCAGGACTTGAGTGACAGAATGAAGATGAAAGAGGGCATCCTCCTTCCATCTCTTAAGGCTGGGGCCTGTGTGTCAGCCCCAGAAGCAGGGCTTGGCTGATGGCTAGAAGGGGCATCCATAAGGCACAGAGGTGCCTGGAGTGAACGAGCTGCACTGGAGAGTCAGGGAAGAAAACAAAACCAGATTCTTTGCCAGCCAAGGGGGCGCTCCAACCACAGAGGCCACTGTAGGTCCCAGTGACAAGCTGGAGGTAGGGAGGCTGATGGCGATGGTGTTTGAGTAGCTCAGGCATAAAGAGACGAAGGTTGAACCGGACTAGGGTTCTTGGGAATGGGAAGGGATGGCCGGAAGGACGGTAAAGGACTCTGTGGCAAGAGCTTGAGGGAAGGGGTGAAGGCAAGGGTGTGGATTGGGCCTTTCCGTTCCAGAGCAGCAGCAGCACCAGAGACCAGCATTGAGAGACACGCACTCCAAACTGTGGGTCTGACACATGCTCAGTTGTAGCCCTGATTCAGCACTGGAGGCCACGCGCTGGGCCACTGGGCCTGCCAGCTTCTCCTCATGCAGAGCCGGTGGTGAGATGCAGGGAACCAGTGGGAAGACCGCAGTGGCACGCAGGAAAGAAAGAGGGAAGGAGGCTGGACTAGATGTGGTGGTGGGGACAGACGCAGGGAAGGAACAGAAAGCAGGACTACAGAAGCTGTGGGGGAGGCAGCCGGTGGACAGTCCAGGACCACTGGGTGTACCCCAAGGGAAGAAAGGGATGTGACCATGTGGGGAGCAGATTTGGGCTGGCTAGGAGAGGTGATTTGCAACTAAATACTAACATCTCAGAAAGTCCCTTTGTCTGAATATCCCTTCAGCCCTTCCCAGAGCCCTGTTAACCGGGTGGGTGTGCAGACACGGAGGGCTTAGCCCCAGCTTAGCCATCGCCTGGCTGTAGGGCCTTGGGCAGCCAGTTGGCCTGTCTGGGCTCCAGTTATCCCTAAGTGAGAAGCTAAGGTTGGGTGGTCTTTCAGGGCTTTCCAGCCTTAAAGGACTTTCAAGTCCAAGTTTTATTCCTCTATTCTTAGTTGCACGAGGCAGGACTGATGGTGCAAGCCGCTCTCCCCGTGTCAGCCTTGCGGGGTCCACCGGTCAGAGTGTAGCCAGGGAGACGAAAAACCGAGTGAATGCTGGCTTCGGTAAGGACAGCAGGGCAAGGGCAGAGCAGTGTTATATTTCCGATCTTTGGTGGCCAGAGGGTTGGGAGGCCCTGTGCTTCTGTGGTGGGCATTTGCCCAAGAATCTCTGTCTGACTACCTTCCTTTGTCCCGAGGTCTGTCCTCTTTGCAGTTGCTCAGATCTCCTCCCTGAATGACATCAGTGGTGGGAGGAGAATGATTACAACAGCCCCTGGGAATTAGGGCCCAAGGGTACAGGGAGGGGGGCCTGGTTCAGTTCTGACCGCTCAGGGGTTTGTGGAATGGCCAGGGAGCTTCAATCCACTAGCAGTGTGACCTTAGGCCAGTATCTGCCTATTGCCTTTCTTATCTATTATCTGCTCCCCACTAGTCATTAAGCACCTTAAGGTCAGGGGCTATAGTTTGTTCCCTACTCCATGTCTAGTAGCGTGAGCACCACGCGGGGCACACTTGTGTAATATTTGTTGAACGAGTCAAAGAATGTGTGCAACAGCGGAAGCAACTGGAGTTACCGAGTCCAGAGAAGAAACCCTTCAAGTGACCTAATTTCCTAATTGTATCCTTGACATTGCACAGACCCACTCTATTTCTCTTTTATTTGGTGTCTACAGACTTGTGCTGTGTGGCCATTAGGACACACTTAAGGAGCCACTAGGAAATGGATTGCATCTGTGTCCTGACGGAGCTGTCTGCCCTTGACAGGCCCAGGTAGGTGTGGGAGGTCACCACCGGAAACGTCCAAACAGAAAGTGGACCTCACTTGTGGCGCATGGTGGGGGGAGCAGGTGTAAGCACCGGATTGGATACAGGCTGTAGGACCCCTGGGGCTCCTTTTAAACCTGACACTCCGTGATTCCATGACTTTCCTACCACAACTTGGGTTGTGTAGTCTGGTGTAGTCTGTTTAGCAGGTGTAGTCTGTTTTCTTGTTTAGAACTTGGGAGAGAAGAATGAATTTGTTCTCATTTGTTCACTAAGCAGCTCCCTTGACTTTTGATCGGGTAGATTTCAAAGGTCAGGACGGGGCATGTATGTATATATGTTTGTATCACTCTGTGACCCAGTGAGTTCTGGAAAGTGGTCCAACAGGTCAGTCACCAGACTTGGGTAGCTTGGGTCCTACACAACCTCCACCTCAGATTAGATTAGACATTGCTGTAAGGACTTTCATAAAACTTTGTGCTTCTCCATCACCCTGAACCCTAATTGCTTTTAGATCATGAATGGATACTCTTCTTTGCTATAAATTCTATGAGTGTGGAGACTATATTTTTCTTGGTTAGCACTGTATCTCCACCTAAAACCTTGTATGTACCTGGCACATGGACAATACTTAATAAATGTCTGATAAGTAGATGAGTGGATGGATGGATGGATGGACGGAGTACTACATCCCCACTATAGTCAAATGCTTAATAGATTTGGGCATTAGGATAGGCACCTTTTATTTTCAAATGAGTAGAACATAGTTCCCTTTTCAAGAATTAAATATGAACATGAAATTAGTCAAGAGTCCAAGTATTTTAGAAATACTCTTACCTGAGGCATAGTCCCTTTGAGGAACACTTGGAGGTGCTTTGACTTTCAGCCTACAGATAACAACCATTAGACAAACGGTCAGTGGGTAGGACAACTGTTGTCAAGGCCCGTAATATAAGCAAATATAGAGATAACAGACAGATAACTAATAGAATAATGGCTTCTTTTGGACCCATCACATTGAAAGACTAAATGTATTATAAATGTAGTGAAGCCGTTGATCAGAGGTCTCCTAGCTCCCTCATCTCCCCAGTGTACAACGGGGCTGTGACTTGGCAAAGGTGAAGTCAGGTGGTGGAATATTCACCTGAGTTCAGAGCTTCAGGGAAGAAAATTGTTAATTGGTTGATAAGATGGTAATAGAAGATGAACTCTGTTTTAATAAATAACTCAATGCAGGACGCCTGGGTGGCTCAGTCAGTCAAGCGTCTGACTCTTGGTTTCTACTGTGGTCACGACCTCACGGTTTTGTGAGTTCGAGCCCCGCATGGGGCTCTGTGCTGTCAACGCGGAGCCTTGCTTGGGATTCTCTCTCTCTGTCTCTCTCTGCCCCTCCCCGACTCATGCTGTCTCTGTCTCTCTCAAAAATAAACTTAAAAGAAATAAATTAATACCTCAGTGCTTTAAACAACAAGAAAAATATTAGTTATAATGAGCACTTTGGTTGTAGGTTGGACTGACACTATTTTTGCACTATTAAAAAAAAAAAAAAAAAAGCCAAATAAGAGAGCAGTGAGTGTTCCCGGGTGGGGATTGTGATATTTAGCTTATTTAGAAGTTGAACTGTTTCAAGCACTCTCAAAACTACTTTAGTATCTTTAGGCATATATAGAATGTTTGAATATTCACAATCCTTCCCTACTCATTACGAGAAGAAACTTAAAATTACATTTTAAAAATATACCCCAATTTTTAGGCTTTTTATAAGTTTTGACACCACCTCCCATTCTATTTCTAGTAAATTATTATTCTTACTAATAATTGCCCATTTTATTTAAGAATGATTTGCTTAAAGAAGTTTAAAAATATATAAATAGAACCTATGTCCAGTAGCTTTTATTTACTAAAACATCACATCCTTTTACAGAGGCAGGATATAAGGTAACCATTACATGCAAAACATATTTCATTCCTTGGGGGGAAAAAAGCAGCACAGAAATTCATGTTTGATTACAAAAAATAAGCCTGATGAACCAGAATTGTAATGTTTCAAAAATAACAATTTTTATATTTGCATAGAAATTCCGCTTTTTGTTTGCCCCAAGGTTCTCAGATCAATTATTTCATTCAATTCTCATAGCAAGACAGGGTGTGCTGGGAAGATATTATCATTAGATGTATGATGAGGTCCAGAGACAGAGATGATCCACGGTATTATAGGGGAAAAAAACCCTCAAAAACAAACAAGGAATGGTACCAGGTCTATTCCTGAAAGAGAAAAATTTTGAAAACTAACCATTCCCCTTTATTGCCATCATTTCATTAAAGAAAAGAAAGGGTATTTTAATATTCCCAAATGTATGAAGGTTATCATCTCCGAATAAAGGACAGACTCAGGAAAGGGCTGTTGGTCACTGAACACCGACCAGGAAGAAAAGCTGTGGTTTGGGCCTCACTCAGCAGCTGGCAGCTGCATGCCAACCCCCAACGCTTCAAGGTCCTTATTTTCTCATTTGGCCATGAACCAGTGACAACTCTGTCATGGTCTTGTGTTAGGAAACCGGCGTGTTCAACCGTGCTTCCTCCTTTCAAGGTAGCACCTGTTGCCTGGCAACGAGTAAGAGCTTAACTGCAGGTCCCTTAGAACCAAAGGGCCACTGACTTCACCCAGGGTAATGACTGTGGCAGCCAGATTTCCCAAGCTGAGAAGAAACATTTGTCAAGTACAAGTGCATTTTGGGAACAATGGGCATAAAAAAAATAGAAACTGTCTGAAAATATGTGAGCTCCGTGGCTACTGTGTAAGTATGACCGACCATGGAAAAGAGAGACATTTTATACAGAGGCTCCATATTATTAAGAAAAGTCGTGTGTTATAAAACTAGCAACTGTGGGATAATTAATCTAGAATTGCTAGTGATTAAAACAATGACTCGCAGGCTTCTCTCATTTCAGTGAGATTCTGTATGTGTCAGAAGTATTAAATGAAAATAATCACATGCCTCTCTCTGCCACAGGACAGAACATGGAGGCAAAGTCTCCTCCTCTAGGAGATGACCAGTTCCCCACAAGCAGACCGTTTTAACGATTTTATGATAATCACTTATACATATTGAGACTCATTTACATTTTGTAGTCTAAAAACACCATAAAACATGATTTCTTTCAAGTTTAGCAAAGACCAAAGAATGAAGATATTCTGTTCTTTATATATATATAATATATATCATATATTTATATTATATATAATCTATACATATATATTTAATGTTTATTTATTTATTTTGAGAGAGAGTGCAAACAGGGGAGGGGCAGGGAGAGAGGGAGGCAGAGAATCCCAAGCAGGCTCCACACTGTCAGCACAGAGCCCAGTGTGGGGCTGGGACACAGGAACCACAAGATCATGACCTGTGAAGCTGAAATCAAGAGTTGGTCATTTAACCAACTGAGCCACCCAGATGTCCCTGAACATACTCTGTTCTGAAGGTATAGGTCAATGAACTTTTATACACAATTAGTGGTACAAAATTTTTGGAAAACAATTTGGTAATATCAACAAAAATGTCAAGGGCATAACTTCTTCAATCTAGAAATTTCATTTCAGGAATTTAGCTTTCTGCTATACTCAAAGTCTACAAAAACTATTTATTGAAATGTTATTTATGGCAGTTAAACTGAAAGAAATGGCCACAAAATTTTGATTGATCTTATCAAATTGCCCTCCAAGAATATATGCCTGTTTAAACTCCCACATCTCCCTCTCTTTCAAAAGTGTCCACCAGGGGCGCCTGGGTGGCTCAGTCAGTTAAGCCTCTGACTCTGATCTTGGCTCAGGTCATGATCTCAGTTTGTGAGATTGAGCCCCGTGGGATTCTCTCTGTCCCTCTCTCTCTGCCCCTCCCCTGCTCACGTGTGTGCACACACTCTCTCTCTCACAAAATAAATAAATAAAACTTAAAAAAATAAAAAGTGTTCACCAATACATAGCTGGTTAAATGAATGATAATGGATTTATAGCAGACTATTAATCAGCTGTTCAAAAAGGAATATGGTTTATTTTTACATACTAACAAACAAAGATATCCATGATATAACATTAAGTAAAACCACTAAGCAAAGTCAGGTTGGTAGAATGTTTTATGGAGAATAGCACCATTCATGATGAAAATGTATGTATGTATAGGTAAGTGCTACATCTATGTCAATATACGTGTGTGCGTGTGAAAATACATACATGTAGATATTTATGCCAGACTCACTCATGACAATGTCCATTGCCCTGGAGTGGGTTGATGTGGGGCATGGGGAAGGAGGAGATTTTGACTTTATGCAATTCTGAATTCTTTGATTTTTTTTCTCTTCTGGTGAATGACCACTACTTTCATTTTCTGAAAAAAAGAACTTAAACAAAAACTTAGTGGAATACCATCTCCCCTTTCCTCTTAACTTAGATTTTGAGTGACAAATATAGATATGTACAATTTTTATTTTCTTTTTTTAAAAAAACTTAAGAGTTTCTGATGTGCAGGAAGATTTGGAATTCTAGTTTCCTTTTCCAAATGCCAACTGAAAACACTATTTTGGGGTGCCTGGGTGGCTCAGTCAGCTAAGCATCTGACTTTGGTCAGGTCATGATCTCACAGTTCGTGGGTTCAAGGCCCACATCGGGCTTTGCACTGACAGTACGGAGTCTGCTTGGGATTCTCTGTCTCCTTCTCTCTCTACCCCTCCCCTGCTCATGTTCTCTCTCTTTCTCAAAAATAAATAAACGTTAAAAAAAATTTTTTAAAGGGGTGCCTGAGTGGCTCAGTCATTTGAGCCTCCAACTTTGGCTCAGGTAATGATCTCACAGTTGACAAGTTCGAGCCCCACGACGGGCTCAGTGCTGACAGCTCAGAGCCTGGAGCCTGCTTCCGATTCTGTGTCTCTCTCTCTCTCTGCCCCTTCCCTGCTCATACTCTGTCTCTCTCTGTCTCAAAAATAAAGATTAAAAAAAGTTTTTTAAACTCCATTTTAAGGCTATAACTGAAAAAACAAAAATTGAAATATGGAAAACAGGTATGGCATCCTAAAGATGCTAGGGCTGTGTTCTTGTAACTTCTCTTTTGGATTTCTCCAACCATGTCCTAGTGGCCCTTAACTACATAGTTACAGAAGCTGATTTTCCTGTTTCTATAAAGGTCTTTGTTGACATTTGCCATCTTAAGTGGCATAGCTCACTTTTACTGCAATGAGAGGGGAAAGCAAAGGGCCCTGAACATCACCCTGTTCATTTGCCATGTTTCCTGAACATAGATCTGACCACCATGGACTCTGGCCACGAGTTAGAAAGGGTTACATGCTAAAAAGATTGCAACTCCTCACTCAGGTAACAGAGAACTTTGTCTTCTCCCACTTAGCACAGGCTGGGATGATGTGTTAATTATGTAAATGAGTGCTTATACAGTGCTATGGAATTTAACTTACTTTTTGATCTTGTTCATTATTCCACCTTCATTGTTCTTGATGTCATGGACCATCTTTTGAAGTTGCCTGCAAGAAATAAAATCAAACATAAAATATTAATAATAGGTTGATTTTTTTTTAAAGTCAAAAGGGAACACAAAAAGGAGAAAAAACCCTACAATAAGCCCCCAGTGAGAATCATATCATATTTAATCGACCATCCGCTACTTGAGTAAAGCAAAGCGTGACTGATAATGTAAGGAACGTGGTCATTGGGCCGTGTCCCTGTCCCCTGAATGTCTGGGCTCTGAAGAGAAATTCTGGTTTCCAGATCTATTCATTTTTAGGAGACACGGGAGGCAAAAGCCCTCTGAATAACCTCACTGTTCATCACTTATTGTCCTTAGAGCATTTGCATTGCCAGGTTGGGGCTACCTTGAAGGACAGGTGGGCTGAAATCAGGCCCAAGAGTTCTTGGTTAACTTTACTAGGTTGAATCTGGAAAAACTGTCACTAGAAAGTTGTACCTACACAGAAGCCATAAGGAAAATGATTAATGAATCTGACTGCCTACACATTTGGAAATTCTGTAGAACAAAAGGAATATGCACAAGATCAGGAGATGAATGACATGCTGGAAGAAATATTTGCAACACAAGAACAATAAGGACTACGTGTTTTGATTTACAAAGAAATCTTATGACTCAGTAAAAAAAAGATGAATAATTCAATAGGAAATGGGTAAAACATGTGAACATACAGCTAACAGAAAAGGACGAGTGGCTAACAGATAACATGACTTATTTTTTAAGGAATTTGCATCTAAACAACGAGATATGTTCTGCTTATCAAATTGGCAAAACTTAATGTGATAATACCCTGGGGCAGGGTGGCGGGCGCACCAAAATATGGATATACTTGGGAATGCAATTTGTGATGATTAATATCCGTTAAATTTTAAAACCTCCATGCCTTTTGACCCAGAAATTCTACTGCCTAGGGATTTGCCATCCTGAACATGGTCATAAAACGATACCACTATGTACTATGTTATTTGTGTAATAACCCTAATCCTTCCTGCCTCCCCACTAAATAAAACCTGGAAACAACCTAAATGCCCATCAATCATTAAAAGGGAACTAGCTAAATAAACTTTGATAAAGCCATACAATGGAATACCACAGACCCTTAAAAAAAAGAAAAAAAAAAAAAAAAGAAGCACACATCAGTATTGCTGATACATGAAAATCCCCAATACCTATTAAGTTACACAAATACGATGAAGGAGAAAAAGAAAAAAGGAAGAAAGGAAGGGAAGTTCAGAATAATGTGTATTGTGTTTTTTTGTGCGATTGCAAAGGACATATACATTCATATGTGCTGGTAGGTGCATAATTTTTTAGAAAGATATGCAAGGAATTATTCAAAGAATGTTTTCAAAGCCAATACAACGTCCTCATACAAATTAGGAAAAGGTACCCTTTTTTCTGAGTGGACATTGCTCAGTGGCCAGGCACACAGCTTGGCAAATAGCGAAAGACAGATTTCAGTCTCTACTTGTCCTCATGGCTGGGTGCCCTTGTACCAATGGCAGAGCGAGGGCTGGAGGCTTGAGTGGGGATGAGGGCTTCTGCTTTATAAAAAGGAGACTTTCACTTTACAATGAAGATTTTTCTATATTAGTTGAATGTTCATAGCTTGTGCATCTATCATTTTATTATCTGTTTTTATATACATAAATAGAGGAAAATGTTAAAAGTTGGAATCTTGGGCCATGGTTTTTTCCTTCATAACTCTCTGACTTAAAAAAATATATATGTAAGTATGTTACTTATATATATTTACATTTACATGTAAATATATCTAATAAATATGTTCACATATTATGTATAATACACATTTACATATTATAGTGTATATGTAAATAATGGTGTATATAAATATATTTATTATTTCTATTTATATGTAAATGTAAATTATGTATGTATAATTTCACACGGTTCTGCCCTGAAAGAGTAGGATAGCCGAATTTACCCTTCAGGCAAGCCTTTGCTTTGTTCTGAGGAAACCATTTGATTGGGCCCTAGAGTTATCAAAACGTAAATCTTGTCCACAGCCATCGCTCTTGGAGAAACCTATTTCCCGCAAACCTGCATGCACACTTCTCTTGCTTTCGGAGCTAGGCCTTGAGTTAGGTAATATGAACAGTGGTGCACAATTCAGCTTGGCAGAGACCTCCAAAACCCTGTTGACTGTGGGGGGGAATCTGGGGAAATAATCTCTGGCTCAGCACGGATTTAGGACGCACATGTTGCAAAGCTCTTCAGTGTGGGTGGAGGAGTTTAGAGCAGGGAGGAGGCTTGGGGTGGGGGGGCCTCTGCCTGGCCAGCCTGTTGGCGTCTGCAACTAAGTGTTAATTTAAGGCTAACTAACCCACCTAGGTTGCTGTTCTGCTGTAGTTGTTTACTGAGGGGCCCTTGGGCACTAAGGAGTGGGGTGAGATTTACCTGGTAGGGATGGACCCTCTTACCCTCAACTATTTTGGGAAAAGGAAAGTTCTCAAACAAGGAGTGGGAACTTGTCCTGGGGATCTTAGGGAGTTCTCTCCCCTTCTCCCTGTAATGATTGTTAGGAACTAATACTGAAGAACAACCACTGAAGTGGTGGAGAGGAGGGGAGGGATGGATACAAGCAAGGATGGAGTGTTGGCTGGAACCTGAGGCTGGGTCTGGGCTCCAGCTCTGAGAAGAGCCATGCCGGGCACCATCACTAGGCATTTGCACCAAGACAATTCCTCTCCATTGCCCCTGAATGTTCAGCGGTATCCTGTTTATCCTGTTGCAGCCTCTGGGCTGTGGGCAAGGGTGTGTTCCATGGCGTGAAGAGCTGAGTGCACAGGGAACACGGCTGGAAGGTGGAGTAGCAGAAGAGAAACTTCTTTTAGGACATCCTTTAGGCTACATCTTGGGGAACTGTCTTCAGAACTGGGGGACCCACTGAGGGGCCCATGTTGGGAGGTGGGGAGGGGTCGGAGCCAAGCAGTAATCTGGGCAACAAAGGAAATGAGATGGCGTTTTCTATCCCCAGTTAGGGAGGCTGTGCTCACAGATTCTACTCATATGAGAACTCAGCAGAGCACCAGGCTCAGCGGCAGGGAGACGAGAATGGATGAGGGTGAAGGAGGACCACCTGCCCAACCGAGATACACAGAGGGTCCCTAAAGCTCGACCTTTGAGCTGCTTCGGAACTCCTCGGGATTCTAGAGTTTGTTCACATATAACCTGTGCCTACCACTCCCCCCGCCCCATCTCCTTTTCCTGCAGAACTATAGGGAATCTCTGAGACAGAGGAATGAGGGAAAATGGGAGATAAGATGTCCGGGCACAAGAGAAAGAGACACAGAGAGCGAAGCTGGAATGGTTTGATTGGGAAGCAATGTAATCATTTCCAGTGCAGAGCAGAGGGCATCTCCCGCTGTAAGCTGATGTAACTGAACGGACTGCCTTTAGACTAAATTAAACCTTAACCAGGTTTAAGGACAAGATGAGCCAGAGTGAAGGATGCTGTCTGAAATTTGTCAGCAGCGAGACACAGACAGAGTAAGAGGGAGCCAGGGGCTGATTTGTATAAGCAACTTTGCTGCAGGTGTAGACAAACAGGCGTAAATTGTTGCAAAAGAGTTTCATGTAATTCTGTCATTTGCTCAAGTTGGTATTTGATACTTCTTGGCCTTTCTTATTTTCATTATAGATTTTTTTTTTAACATTTATTTATTTATTTATTTTTGAGACAGAGAGAGACAGAGCATGAACGGGGGAGGAGCAGAGAGAGAGGGAGACACAGAATCTTAAGCAGGCTCCAGGCTCTGAGCTGTCAGCACAGAGCCCGACACGGGGCTCGAACTCACGGACCTGCGAGATCATGACCTGAGCTGAAGTCGGCCGCTTAACCGACTAAGCCACCCAGGTGCCCCTCATTATAGATTATTAAAATAATCAGTTGCTTCATAAATTATGCTTCTTGTGTTCAAAACTTTTCCCCTCCCTCTGCCTCTCGTTCACACAACACTTGAGGCTCACAGACTGCTGTTTCAGCAGCCAAGTGTCTGTTACCTGGAAAAACAGTGTCCGCCAAACCAAGAAGACCTGGGGATGCTCTCAGCTCCTTTTATCAACTATTCACATGCTGCCTGATGCACAACTTTCCTACTCTCTGGTACCGTCTTTGGAGCCCTTTTTTCCCCCCTCTACTACAACATAAATACTCTTTTTTTTTTTTTTTTTTTGTGAACGTTTATTTATTTTTGGGACAGAGAGAGACAGAGCATGAACAGGGGAGGGGCAGAGAGAGAGGGAGACACAGAATCGGAAACAGGCTCCAGGCTCTGAGCCATCAGCCCAGAGCCTGACACGGGGCTCGAACTCACGGACCGCAAGATCATGACCTGGCTGAAGTCGGACACTTAACCGACTGCGCCACCCAGGCGCCCTGTCTACTACAACATAAAGCACATGCAAAGGCATGTGCAGCTGGACTGTTCCCAGATTTAAATACCAGCGGTCTCACTGTGAGTAGTCGCGTGTAGGTGAAAATAGGCAAAAAAAAAAAAAAAAAAAAAAAAAAAAAGCTTCTCTTTGATTAGCCCTTTCAGAGATATCTTTCCATGGATGGCGGAAGGATAATAGGAGCACAATGTTCTATTCTTTAAATTATGAAGAGACAGCCATGTACAGGTAACAAAATAAAATGAACGAAGAACAAAGCTCATGTAATATATTTTTTAAAAGATGTCAATAGTGTATTTTTTAAGTGTACTCATTTTGAGAGAGACAGAGGGAGCAGGGGAGGGGCAGAGAGAGGGAGACAGAGGATCTGAAGGGGGCCCCAATGCAGGGCTTGAATTCACCAAGGCAGAGCTTGTGACCTGAGTTGAAGTTGGATGTTCAACTGACTGAGCCACTCAGGCACCCAATAACGTATTTTTTAAGTAGCATGCTATTTCAACATTTTACAGTGGTGAATACATTATATAAAGAGTTATAATTATTATTTCTCTATAAACCAAATCAAATTATACATTCTCTCCT